GATTATAACAATGATCAACCTGCTATTGTTAACTTCTGAACTTTCAATTAGCTACTCCATTTATCCAGTCCAGGTTTTTTAGTTTCATCCTTGAGATTAACAAGGTGGAATGTGCTTACTCCATTTTGCCCAGAACTAGAATCTCACTTCTCTATTTTACAATGTAATGGCAACTTGAATCTCCTTGTGTCATAGTTAAATCTGGCTTGTCAATTATATTTTATTGTTTTTTCAGTATACAGATTGGGGCAAAAGTAGATTTACAGTTGTGAGAATGAGAAACACAGTTTATTCTTTATTTATTAATTAATGTATTATTTTCTATAGAAATAACTGTAAACTACTTTTGCCCACACTGTATCTGTGAACCTGCTGTGTATAACAGCATAAGCTTTGTTGAGATGATGCTACATTACATGTAGAAGAAAATAGGAAAATTAATTTCTCTTTACAACACAGTTTTCATGAACTCTAGTTTTCCATAATTATATTACATTTGAAAAACTTTTTTAATTTTTATTTTGATTTGTTTTCTGCCTGAGAATTTCTGGCTTGTCTTTCATTTTAAGATTTTTATAAATTCTTTGTAAACATTTAAAAATGATTTATTTCAATAATTAGGTTATTGGTCATCAGAGCAATAGTATGAGGTGACATCCTTTTGTACTCTTGGTACTCATTCACTGTTGCAGATACTATGTGCAAGAATTTTAGAGAACTTCTGAAGCATGAGGTTGATTTTATTACAAGACCTACAAGTGTGGGTGACTTCATCATCTTTGTTTTCAGTTTGTATAAACAGCAAGTAGAGGATTATTTGTTCATCAGAGAATGATGTTTGGAAAATAAGCCTTTTTCTGGGTAGGTCTGGAGTGAAGGAATTGAATATAAAAGAATCCTAGAAATTGCTGCTATTGATCAGTAGCTGACAGGTAACCAGATCACTAATAATCTTTTTTTAAAACTGAGCTGGAAAGTATAATGAGGGGCTGACATGCAGTAGTAACTGAAAACAGGGCATTTGTCTTAGATTGTTTTGGCTGTTATAAGTACTGCAAAGTGGGTGGCTTATAAACAACAGAAATCGATTTCTTGTAGTTGCAGAGGCTAGAAGTCCAAGATCAGGGTGCCAGAAGAGGGTGAGGGTTCTCTTCTGGGGTGCAGACTTCCCCTTGTGTGTTCACGTGGTGGAAGAGGCTAGGGATCTCTCTGGACTTTTCTTTTATAAGACATGAATCCCATTCATGCGGGTTCCACCCACAAGACTTTAAGCACTTCTCCAAGGCCCCACTTACTAAATCATACCATTGCCATTAGGGGTTAGGTTTTCAGCATATGACTTGGGTGGGTAGAGGAACACAAATATTTGGACATTAGCAGCTTATAAATGATTCTGTGAAAACAAAAATTGATACTCTGAGTTTCATATCTATTTCTCTTTTATTATTGGTTGGTAGTTGTAAAGTAGGGTGTAATGAAGCTATTGATAGAAGTAAAAATTTTGTTGCTGTTTTTATAAATAGACATCCTAATTTATTGGTTCTTCATTTTATTTCCTGATTCAGATTTTTTTAAAAAAAATTTTATTTCTTTTTATTTTTAGAGAGCATGGGAGGGAGGGAGAAAGAGAGGGAGTGAAATATCAGTGTATGGTTGCCTCTTGTGTTTCTCCTATTGGGGACCTGGTCCGAAACCCAGGCATGTGCCCTGACTGGGAATCAAACTGGTGACTTTGGTTTATAGGCCTGTGCTCAATCCACTGAACTATACCAGCAAGTGGTATACCAGCAGGAATTTTATTTTTAACTGAAATGATATGATGTTGAAAAAATATGTAACTATCATGATCGTGAATAGAAAGAAATTGGGAGTCTTCCAGCCAAGATGGAGGCATGGGTAGACACACTGTACCTCCTCACACAACCAAAAGAAGGACAACAACAATTAAAAAACAACCAGAATTGACAGAAAATCGAACTGTATGGAAGTCCGACAACAAAGGAGTTACAGAAGACACACTCATCCAGACCAACAGGAGGGGTAGGAGCAGGCAGCCAGGAGGAGAGGACTCACAGAAAGGCAGTGGCTGGAGGACCCAGTGAGATGGTGGATTGAGGAGTGGGGTGCGCAAGCCTGCAGCTGGCTGATAAGGCAGCTGGTGCAGCAAGCGGTCCCACATTCGTGTGCAGATAAACCAGGAGAAATGACTGGGGGGCAGGATGGACTGCAAAAGTCAGGGCCCCAGTGCAGGGAAATAAAGCCTCAAACCACTGATTGAAAACACCTGTGGTGGTTGAGGTGGCAGGAGAAACTCCCAGATTCACAGGAGAGTTTGTTGGTGAGACCCACAGGGTCCCAGAAGGTATACAAACCCACCCACACAGGAATCAGCAGTAGAAGGGCCCAATTTGCTTGTGTGACGTGGGAGAAGTGACTGAAATTCCACTCAGAGAGTGGAGCAAGCACCATTGTGCCCTCTCAGACCCCTGCCCCACATACAGCATCACAACACAGTGACCTGGGTTACCCTGCCTGGGTGAACACCTAAGGCTCCACCCCTCACTATGTAACAGGCTTGTCAAGAGAAAAAAAAAATGGCCCAAAAGAAAGAACAGATCAAAGCTCCAGAAAAAATACAACTAAGTGACAAAGAGATAGCCAACCTATCAAGATGCACAGTTCAAAACACTGGTAATCAGGATGCTCACAGAATTGGTTGAATTTGGTCACAAATTAGATTTAAAAAATGAAGGTTATGATAAGTGAAACAAAGGAAAATGCACAGGGAACCAACAGTGATGGGAAGGAAACTGGGACTCAAATCAATGGTGTGGACCAGAAGGAAGAAAACATCCAACCAGAAAAGAATGAAGAAACAATAATTCAAAAAATGAGGAGAGGCTTAGGAACCTTTAGGACATCTTTAAACATTCCAACATCTGAATTATAGGGATACCAGAAGGGGAAGAAGAAGAGCGACAAGTGGAAAACTTATTTGAACAAATAATAAAATAGAACTTCCTGGATCTGGCAAAGGAAATAGACTTCTAGGAAGTCCAGGAAGCTCAGAGAGTCCCAAAGAAGGTGGACCCAAGGAGGAACACACCAAGGCACATCATAATTACATTACTCAAGATTAAAATTAGAGAATCCTAGAAGCAGCCAGAGAAAAGGAGACAGTTACCTACAAAGAAGTTCCCATCAGACTGTCAGATGATTTCTCAAAAGACACCTTACAGGCAAGAAGGGGCTGGAAAGAAGTATTCCAAGTCATGAAATCCGAAGACCTACATCCAAGATTGCTCTATCCAGCAAAGCTTTCATTTAGAATGGAAGGGCAGATAAAGTGCTTCTCAGATAGGGTCAGGTTCAAGGAGTTCATCATCACCAAGCCCTTATTATATGAAATGTTAAAGGGACTTACCTAAGAAAAAGAAGATAAAAAATATGGACAGTACAGTGACTCACAATTATTAACAACCACACCTAAAACAAAAACGAGCAAACTAAGCAAACAACTAGAACGGAAACAGAACCACAGAAATGGGGATCATCACATGGAGGGTTAGCAACAGGGGAGTGGGAGGGGGAGAGAGGGGGAAAAGGTACAGAGAATAAGTAGCATAGATGGTAGGTAGAAAACAGGGGGAGGGTAAGAATAGTATAGGGAATGTAGAAGCCAAAGAACTTATATGTACGACCCATAGGCATGAACTAAAGTGGGGGAATGTAGGTGGGAAGCGGTGTGCAGGGCAGAGGGGAGTGAAGGGGGAAATTGGGACAACTGTAATATTATAATCATCAAAATATATTAAAAAATAAATTGGGGTGTCGAAGGGACATTTTGTTTATTAAAGCCTATGCTATTTTTTTAAATTCATGTTGGGTTAGATAATATACTCAGATAATTTATAAAACTGTACTAGTTTATAAAATTTGAAGAAACTGGTATTTCTCTCCACCAGTAGATACATTAATTAGTCTGAAAAGCCCCTTCTGGCCATAAGCCTTTATGATGTGGGGTCAGGCACAATGTATCTTTTATTGTCCACTGGTCATTTCTTTAGAGGAGGTCTACAATGGCCACAACAGCACCTGACATGTGCTCTTAATTGCATGTATCCTTCCTTTTTAAAAAAGTTAAAATCCCCACTATCATGTTAAAAAAGACAATTTCAATTCTGAGTTCATAAAGATGGAAATGCTATAATGGTGGGTAGGTGGAAAAATACAATTTTAATGCATTTGGTCTCAGTTGGGAAGCCTTTTTTGTAAACACATACATCTTGAAAAGATTTGATTCTCATTGTATGCTTGTATAGTGTACTTACCCCATTACTGTACCTGCTACATTGCAATGTAATTGTTGGTTTCTGGTTTTGTTAGGTATATCAGTGCTTAAGGCCTAGTAGTGCCTAGAAAATAGGGAAACTGACTAAATATTTATTAAGTAAACAAATTAGAAGCAGGCTGTGGAAATGTGGAATGTCTAGTATAGGGTCTGTTTGGAAAAAGAAAAGTGATGATTGGTTGAGGATACTTTTACGATCTGTAGTTCAGGAAATAATTTAAATTCTAGTAGTTGTTGAAGTGCTGGGATGTTTAAGTATCTTTTTTGTGTATTTTTTTCCACATTGCCTTCTAAGGTGATGTGACCCATCTATTTGTTGGGATAGATTTTCCCCTAATTCTCCATTACTTTGTTTTCAGTTGACTTTTTCCTGTATGCTGAAAGTGACTTGTGCTTCTGCCTCACTGAATAAAATGTTTTTATTATTGTTGGCCTTCAGCACCTACATGAGTCTTCACATTTGAAGGCATATAGTTACTCTGTCAAAATGTCTTACATTCTAAATAAATTGTTTTCACATCCAGGGGCCCTCTGGGATAAATTGTTCCTTATACTTTCCAATATATTTTCTTCTGAACTCAAGTTAAATGCAGGAGCAGTTGAGTGAAAGTGAGTAAAATGGGACTAATTTTTATAATTCCCTCCCCAGGACTCTTTGATGGAAAACTGATTACCTGACTGTTTGACCTGAAGAATCTTACAGGTAAGAAGGCTTATGAATGTTTGTATACTTATTAAACACTTTAAATGACACTCTTAGAAAACAAATAAGAGAGTGACACCACTTAGGTACTGCTATTGTGGTTATAGCTTTACCATTACCTTTTTTTTTTTTTTTTTTTTGCTAGAGTTGCCATATGTTACAGCTATTTATCATTTTTATGTAAAGTAGAAAATAGGAAACAAAAAATTTAGGGTTCTTTGCTTTTTACCCTAGAATTTGTGTCTTGGTTCAACAGTTTTATTTCAAGGTAACCAGAATCTTGATAAATATCACCAGTGTAGAATAAAGAACTTACTTATGTTTGTGTTATAAGATGTGTGAAAAAATATTTGACAGTTTAAATTTTGTGAACTTTTTACTCCTGCCGTTTTTTTTTAATATGTGGATATTTGAAATGCAGGAGTTTTCTCCTTTCAGTAATGAAAATCTGTTTGACCCCTACAGATTTATCACGCTCTACCTAAAATCCATTTGGGGTGGAGAGGTTTTCATGTGTTTGGGCCTGTGTGCTTGTTGAGTACTTCTTTTGTGTTAAGTATTTTACATGGATTATGTGATTGTATAGTTTAACCCATTAAAATGACTCAAGTGGTTGTGACTATATCTCTCTTTTACTGATTAGAAAACGGGCCTTAAAGAAAGTAAGGTCAAACAACCAGTGAGCTTGGAACCCAGGGAGTTTTTCTAAGACCTATGCTAAAGAAACCTTCTTGCCTGTATATGAAGAGTACTAGTATTAAAGCTTCAGCGCCAAATGTGCACGTGAAGGATATTCTGAACAAAAATATGTCGGAATAACCTAGCCTACCTACAAAGGTTGACAAAATTGTTATAAGATTTAGGTAAGAAAAATAATACTTATGGGATTTAGGTAAGAAAAATAATACTTGTGGAGCATTCTGCAAGGGATTAAAAAATTAACAGTGACACATCAGAAGCAGGAGTCAGTTGATTTATGTAGCAAAGAAGCTGGAAAGGAATTAATTATCAAGCTGAAGGAGTTAATTGCCTTAACCTTACTCTGATGTGAATAAATTGAAGGTAGTAGGGTGGCGTATATTTGTGATAGTTTAAGCCAGAATGGTAAAATAAAGGTAGATAAATCAACAAGATTACATAGCCTTCAGGGGAATTTTAAAGGAAATCAAAGATGACATTGTAGAACCATTGACCCAAATGTATAATAAGTAGGTTGTGCCAGAGTACAGGTAAGTACAAATGTAGATAGAGTCCTCATCTTAAGAAAGCTTGAATAGCCCTCTGTAATGAGAGACTGAAGCAACCTCCAAGGTAGGCAATCTTCTATAGTCTTTAATAGGATTGGCAAGCTTTTTATAAAACAGGCCAGAGTGTAATTATTTTAGGCTTAGCAGATTATATGGTTTCTGTTGTAATTACTTAACTTTGTCATTATAATGCAAAAGCAGCCATGGGGAATATGTAAAGAATAAGCATGGCTGTGCTTCAGCCAAATTTTATTTATAAAAAACACTGAGTTGGCCCCAGCTGGTGTGGCTGAGTTGGTTGGAGCATAGCATCGTCCTGTACACTGGAAAGTTGTGGGTTCAGTTGTGGTCAGGGCACATGCGTAGGTGTAGGATTGGTCTTGGTCAGTCAGGGAACCAATTAGTGTTTCTCTATTATATCAGTGTTTCTCTCTCTCTGTGTTTTTCTTTCTTTCCCCCCCCCTTCTTCTCTCTCTCAAAGCAATGAAAAAAATGTCCTTGAGTGAGGATTAAAAACAGTAATAATAAATAAAAACACAGCCAATTTTTTTGTCCACTAGACTACAATAATGGATAGACTCCCTCTTTAGACATCATTAAAAAACAGCCTTGCTCATGGTTTCTCTGAGGGAAAATAACATACAAATAGAATCAAATTTTTGAGTAGATAATTGGGAGGCACTTTATTTTAAGACTGGAAGATGCTGCATTAATAGTAATGGTTAACATTTAGATGTGTATTATTGGTGGACAATAAATATCATTAGCACAAGTTTGCCTAACACCAGTGCCCAAGTCATTAATCACTGAAATATATCTCTCAGAGTACCTTACTGAATGCCCCCTCTTTTTTCATTGAAGTTCTTTAGACAGAGGGTTGAATTTGGGCACTGGTTTATCTTGGATATAAGATTAGAAATAAAGAATAAATAGGAATAGCCTATCTATGAGAAGTTCAGAGAGTCACTGTGGGTTCTCTGAATACCTAAGCCATACAAATCAATACAGTATTTAGCATCTTCATGAAGTGTTCTTTGGAACACTTGGCTTAAGTGTGCCCAACATAGCGACAGCCCATACTTTCCCCCAGTGTCTTTATCATGCAACCCTGGCTCCCATTTGTATAGTAGAGTCTGTAATGGCCAGAGTGGGTTTAGAAATGGGGTGGGAAACAATTAAACTTCCTCACTGCCATTCATATACCTTTTTTTTTTCTTTGTAACCTGAGGATCTCATTGTACCTTTCTGACAAAATATTTTGTTAGATTTGATGATTAGTTTGTTAGAGATGTTTATTTGTCTTTTTTTTTTTCAGTCTTGTGTTGGCCTTTGTCCTTCACTTTTGTCTAGGGAAAACAAAGAAATTGGGCAAACAACAATTTTATTACCGTTTCCTATTTTTCTGTTCTTACTAGCAGTGATGGTAATAACAACAGCTATTAATTACATCGTAGTGCAGTTGAGATTTGAATTTAGATCTGTCGGACTCTTAACATTATAGTTATAACTAGAATGTTGATTTCTTTTGATGCTGTGGGTCTGCTTGAAGAATAGGAGGAGGAAGCAGGAACAGGGAGTCCTGAGTGAACTGGAGTAGAAAGGAGTTCTGTTTTGTCGTTGATGGAAGGAAGCACACTGGAGGAGGACGTGATGGGAAGAAGGGTAGAAATTTAAAATGGAGCCAGCCAAACCTAAAAAACTTTAGTTTCTGTTACCAAAGACCTCTGGTCCTTTTTGGTTCCTTGAAGCGCTTCAGCAACTGCTGTAGTAGAAAATACATTGTTAGCATTGCTTATATAATGTGAAGCAATTTTCTGTTGTAGAGGATGGTGGTTATATCCTAGAGCTGTGCTATCCAACCAAGTTGCCAATAGCCACATTGGGCTAAGTAGATTAATTAAAACTTAAATAAAATTTAAAATTTAGTTTTTCACTTGCCACATTTCAAGTGCTTTATAGAACAGTTCCCTGTTGGGCAGCACCATTTCGGGGAACTGAACATTCTTATATACAAGAGTGCTACTGTTCACTGTAAGGGTTGGCTTGGGACTCGCACATCCATCTGTGCCGTCATTTGTATGGGGAAGTGTGTGTTAAGTTCCTGGAAACTGTTTCATGTCAATGGAACATTTTTTTTTCATTCCACATTCTAAAAGTTGATAGCTTTGATGATAAATAAAATTTTAAGGGTAGGCCATTTATTCTTCCCAAACTGTTTTATGAACATATTTGGATTAGTATTTTCAATACATAACAGAGACAGTAATAGAAAATGGCAACCCAGAAGGTAGAAGTACCTTAAAATCATTATATTAGGGATAATTGACTTAAAAGGTATTTTAGCTTGGAAAGGTACAACCTGGGAAGAGATGTTAAAGATTGAAATTTGCAAATTAAAATCATCTGAAAAGTAAGGCGTTTACCTAAAATCTAGAGTGAACATCCATTCTTAGAAATTTATTTGAGGTAAACTAAAATTAAAAGAAAATTAATTTTGATTTATAGATAATTAACTTACAGATCTTGGTGATAGGCAGTCTAGATAGAATGTGACTGCCCTGGGTGGTGTGGCTCAGTTGGGCATTGCCCTGCAAACTGAAATGTCACCAGTTTAATCCCCGGTCAGGGCACATGCTTGGTTGCGAGCCCCGTGGTCTGCCCCCATTGGGGTGACGGCAGAAGGCAACAGCATTGATGTTTTCTCTCCCTCTCTTTCTCCCTCCCTACCCCTCTTTCCAAAATAAAAAAAAATTTAAATTTAAAAAGAATGATTTCCTTCTCCCCAGATCTCTACTTACCATAATTTAAAAAAATGTGTATTACTTATGGTTATAGAGTCATAAATAGTTAACTATGAAGTTGGGTTATATCTAACTTTTCTGGAAACCACAAGGAAGGATAGTCCTGGCCACCTATAGCTTATTTCTTAGGTCCTTTATTAATCACGAATTACTGGCTAAGACCATGAATCTACTGTATTCCTATGCTCCTGTTACTGGAAGTTCAAAGCAAAACTGGTACTAAAAACCCTGGATTGTTAGATTAAGAAGTAGAGTCTAGGCAGATAGAACAGATAAACATAGGTTGCAAGTTGTTGAACTGAAATTTGAGACTTTTATCTAGTGGAAATGCTAAGACCCTATAATTTTGAATAATAAACTGGCAGTGTAGCATTATTGTTTTTTAGGTATGGAAATCATTAATGAATGAAATGTTCCAGAAGAAGCACACAACTTCTCAAAATTTGTAACACTCAGCTTTTAAAGCAGATTTCTAACATACAAGGAAAAGCAGTCTGTGATATGACTGAGGTCTCTTAGCTTCTCAGTGTTAAGCTGTTAGGTATTTTATCACATGAGTTAAAACAGAGAGACACTACTTATTGTAAAGTATAAATTATAATGATATATTAATATAAATAATATAAACTTAATGTTCTTAAGGGAGGAAATGTGAAAATAGTGTGAACTAGTCAGTGGGACATAAATTATTTAGCTACATAAAAGGATGGTATTTTACATCTTCTGAAGATTTTCTAGGTTTTAAAAATATTGTTGACTTTCCAATTAACATTTTACCACATTGAATTAACTCCAGCTTAAATATATTTTTTAAATATTGAAGATAACGGGGGAGAGGTTATAGTATGACTTCCCCCAAATAAAGAATTACACTCAATTATAGATCATACAGGAGCACAATATGACTCTAAAATCAATTAAATCGGGAAGTCGTCTAGAGCACTGTTTCCTAGGCGTTAATGAATACATATGAATTATGTACAGATCTTGATAAAAATGCAGATTCATATTCACTAGATATGGGACTGTGCCTGATGTGTCTTGCATTTGCAACAAGTTCCCTAGGTGATACTGATACTATCTTTATTTTTTATGTTAATTTATTGATTAGAGAGAAACATTGATTTGTTGTTTTCGCTTATTTATGCATTTATTGGTTGCTTTTTGTATGTGTCCTGACCAGGGATCGAACTTGCAACCTTGGTTTATTAGGATGGCACTCTGACCAACTGAACTGCCCAGCTAGGGTGATACTGTCTTGCCGAGTGAATATCAAGTAGAAAAACCTATGACTACCTGAATACTTTAATATTTTTAAATTGTATTTTTTAAAAGATTTTATTTATTTCTTTTTAGAGAGAGGGGAGGGAGGAGAAAAACATCAAACAAACGTTTGATGTGAGAGAAACATCAAACATTGACTGATTGCCTCCCCCCCAACTGGGGACCTGGCCTGCATCCTTTCTGTTCATAGACCCACACTCAGTCCACTGAACCACACCAGCTAGGGCTACCTGAATATTTTTAAAGTAATCTTCTGTCTCAGCAAGTCCATCATTTCTAGTTGCTCAGTTCAAAATACTTTGGAATTATCCTGGACTCTTTCTATTCTTTAACATATACTCTGCATTCGATCTTGTCTGCAAATTTTTATGGCTGTAGTTTGAAAACACAGCTGGAATCTGAGCACTTTCCATCATACTTGCTACTACTCTGGTACAAGCCAGTGCTTTGTGCCTCTAGATAATTCCGGTAGTCGCCGTGATGGCCTCTGCTTTTTGCTTTGCCACCTCTTCTGTTTAAAATCCCCTGTAGGCCTGTCTCACTCAAAGAAGCGAGTACCTTAGTCTTTAATATGTTGCATGATTTTAAATGTTCTGTTACCTCTGTGTCCTCATCTGCTTTTCCTTTCTTGCACTGTACTCCAGCATTAATCTGGTTTTGTTCCTTGAACACACCAGACATACTCCTCTCCTCTGCCTTTGGACTTTCATACTTGCTGTTCTTTTGCCTAGATAGAATTCAGATCTTCAGATACCTACATAACACTCTCGCTTCTTTCAGATTGCTAGGTCAGCAAGTCACTTTGTGAGAAAGGTTTTTTCTAAACACTCTGTATGAAACAGCAGCTTCTCCACTTTCTCACTTACTAACCATACTAATTGTATGGCTTTTAAAAATAATTGTATTGTTTTATTTTTCTCTACAGCACTTCTCAACATTTAACGCACTAGATATTTTACTTTGTCTCCCTTTATAGAATGTAAAGGCAGGACTTTGTGTCTTAATCAGTTCTGTACTTGGGCCATTGCCTAACAGTATGCCTGTAGCACTCACTAAACCTTTGAATAAAAGAGGTCCCACAATATATTGTTGAGCCTCTCTTTGAATACCTTCACTAATAGATTATTCTACCTCCCTGCGGAGCATCCCATTTCATTTGAAAATAACTGCTAACCTTCTCCTTAATCTTTACGTTCTTCCAGGCTAAACACTCTTATTTACTACCTTACCTTTCGGCGTATGGTGGTATGGTTTCCAGGGCTGTTACCATTCTAGTCATCTTCCCTGGACATTCATCATTTTGTTTGTCCCTAAAGAACAGCACGGGCACTAAAACAGGGGTTGTACGTGTAGGCTGAGTGAGAAGTTTTCCTCTCCTGTTTGACGTTCTACTCTTACTAAGGTAGACTGTGATTGAATTGACTCTTTTTAAGTAACTCTATTCCTGACTCATTTCTACTCTTAATCCACTAAAACCTTTAAATTATTATTATATACAATATTCTACTAAATTTGTTATCGTCTGCTTTACAGTTGGTTTTTGAACCAAAGTCATGCCTCTGCATTTCTTTTTATTTACCTAATAAAGAATATTCCCGGGCAGTGTATTCTTTTAATGTAGAAACTAGCATGCGTAAATTATTTAGGAAAACTTATTTTTAGAAGTACTTAATATACATGTGGGAAAGTGATAACAGATGAAATTAGTGATTTCTTGTGTCTAGATATTCCATAAAGTATTTGAATCGTTCATCGAGATCATGTCTTGCATCAATTCAAGAAAGAATTCTAAGAGTTGATTTAAAGAACTTTTACCTCATACCTTTGTTCCTCTTTACTAGCAAATTAATTCCCTTTCCCACATTTCTCATTTGCCTCTTGTAACCACTATTTTTCTAATTCTCTAGGCCAGAATAATCTCTGATTTCTTCCATGTATTGTTATTTTTTTTATTTAGTTATCATATCTCAGAGATTCTTGAACTCTTTAATTTCTTGCTTTTCTGTGCACTTCACTGCCAGTTATTCTAGCTATGCAAATCTCTCGGCTTCTAATGTCTCCCCACTGAAACCCATTCTGTGCTTTGCTGGCAGGTCACTCTTTTAAAAGAATCACTTACCTCACTTTTATCACGTCAGTCTTCTTCAGGGGAATCTGTAAGATCAAATTTAAACTTCTCATCAACCCTTAGAGATACCTCTATAATCTAACCTTACTTGATTTACATTGCTCTGCTTATTTGCTCTCCTTACCCCTCACTGTAATCTTTCAGATGAACCTCTTGGCATACACGCTCATCCTTCCTCAGGACAGACACATGTACTCTTACACTTTTCACTCACTCAGTCTTGTTCTTGTCAGATTGGCCTAGCTAAATGATGTTTTTTTTCCCTTTATACTTTGTTTCTCCTTTATTGCCTTGGATTCCTCCACTCATATAACCTATCACTTTTGTTGCAAAATTTAGTCCAAATTGATTTCCTTTTTTCTAAGCTCCAATTATATGTATATGTCTGACCACACAATTTATCATTTAGTCTTTGTTGCTTTAATACTTTTTAAAGGTTTTTACCTTTCAGTAAGACTGTGTGCTTGATGGCAAGGACGGTAAGAGTATACTGGATTATCCACAAAATGTACTGGCTTGTACCGTTTTCTTTCATGTGTAAATAATTTCTCACAGTTTGGGGTCTTTTATGTATTATTGGGAGAAGACATACATTAAAATTCTCTATCATAATTCACCCTATAGGAAACCTGTTTTCAAGGAGAAATGAAGAAGAGAACTGTATATACCTTAAATGTGGGAGATCAGGAGTATGAAGATATGGAAGGTAATTTTTCATTTTTATAAAGTTCTTATGTTGAAAGCAAAACTTAGTGTATCCAACTGTTTACTTGTATACATTTCAAAATATGCAAGGATTTTTATTTTTATTTATTTTTGTCCTTAAATTCTGAAATAAGCTGCCCGAATAGGAAGTGCATACATTCCACCACCACCCCCCCATGTCTTATTTTTTACTTATCAAGGTTTTTGGTTTCTTGAGCTCTTTTTCTTGTTGAATTTTTGCTTCCTACTTTTGGATGAATTACATACTTTCTCTGTTATTGTTGTCTTTTGTTTTGTTTGTAAAATAGTGGTGGTATTTTCCTGTGCTCTTAAAGTTAATTTTAATCTTTATGGCCAATAGTAGAAGAACCTTTGAACACTTTAACTCTGACCATACTGTTCTAGTTTTATAGGTTGTGGTTGTCCATCATCTTGTTTATTTTCCTAGACACCCCAAATGCTGTTTGATACAGATAGAATATTTGAGGGGGTCGTTTTTCTCCATTCCTTTTCTTCTGAAACAAAACTGTAAGTTCCTTTACTAGAAAGTCTATTGGTGATAAAGTCTAAGTTTTTGCATTTATATTTTTCTTCTCAAAACTATTCAAAGATAGATATACAATTCTGGATTGCTAGTTCCCCCCCCCCCCTTTGCACTTAATTTAGTCATTTCTTGCTATCAAGAACTCTTTTAAGCCTTGCCATACTGTTTCAGATGACCCATCTTTTCTCTCTTTTGCTCTTAATATTGTTTTCTTTATGAATGTACAGCTTTGCTGCATTGCTCTGGGCACAGGTTACTTTCATTTCTCCTGTTTGGCATATCATTTTTTATTTGTTTATTTCATCATTTCCCAGTAATTACTGCTTTAACCATTGCCTCTCCTTTATTTTTCATTTCTGGACTTCAGTTGTGTTAGACTTGGGTCTGACCTCATTTTCCAGCCTCTCTTTCATGGGTGATATCTCCTTGTGTGTCTCTTACAGTATGAGTAGTTTTCTTTCTCTTCCAGTTCACAGTTATTTTTTTTCATCTGGGTCTGGTCTGCTGTTCAGTCCTTCTATGTAGTAGTTGAAAATTCCGATATTTGAAGTCAGTGAGTATCTAAATAAATTTATAATAAATAAACATAACATGTAAATGTAAAAATAAATCTAAACAAATTCATGTTTCTGCTAATTCTTACTCAGGGCAGTTTATTTTCTCAGGTGTGGTAATGTTTGATTATGAGCTCATAAATTTAATGTGTGGAATCCTGGGGGGCCAAATGAAGGATGCTTTCCTGCAGAGGATTTGTATCTGTTTTTCCTTGAATCTGTGCTGGAACTACTGTAGCACCACTGAGGGTCTTGGCTTAACTTGGGAATCTCTCGGAAAGTTTCCTGCGGAGGTTGGTCCTAAGGATAGTCTTCAGATCTGAACACCAGTGTGGATGTTTGCTCCCAGGAAGATCCCAGATTTTCCATTTGCTTGGTGTATACTGTTCACATTTGAACTGACCATTTCTTTATTTTCGTTTCATTTTATGTTGAATTTTGGAGTTGCCTTTATTTACTTTTGAGTCAGCAATGCATAATTTTGTATGTTGGTTACATTGCTGGTGGGTGTTTAAATTAGTGCAAACCCTTAGAGGTATAACTTGGTATATCCAAATTAAAAATGTACATATGTATTGAGCTGACGTATTCATTTTAGGAATTTAATCCTATAAAAACTATTAAAATAGGAAATTACAAAGTTGTTCATTGCAGTATTGTTATAATAGCTAAAGGTTGAAAACAGGTGAATGTTCATCAGTAGGTTCAACAATACAAAAAAAAGCAAACTGGTGTGTATAGTGTTCTAGTGTTTGTGTGAAGGAGATTTGAAAGAACTTGTGTTAGGATTTGCTTGTCTATGCATTAAAACAAATCTTGGGAAGAATGGAGAGGAAACTTAACTGAAATGTTGGGTGGAACTGGATGGATGGGGGTAGATATAAGTGGGAAATTTGTCATTGTGACTTTTGTTTACTTCTAAATTTTCAAGCCATGTGATAATTTTTAAAATAAATTCATGAAAAATTCTTTTCATTCCCCTATTAAAAATATAAATTAATATTGAGAGTATTGTGCTCAAGCAATGTTTGTTATAATGTATCTAGATATAATTACTTCATAGTAGAAAGGTCCTTTATCATTATCTAGCCTATGGTATTGCCACAAACATAAGTCATTTGGCCTGGGGAACTTAAAAGGATATATGGCTGCTTTCCTTTACAGGAGAAGAAAACAAAGATAATACTGCTACCACTGTTCTGTTGTACAGTGAAGCTGACAGATGTCCTATATGTCTTAATTGCCTGTTAGAGAAGGAAGTTGGTTTTCCAGAAAGCTGTAATCATGTCTTCTGTATGACCTGTATTCTTAAATGGGCAGAGGTGAGTCTTAAATAAATTTTAAATATTACATATTTTAGTTTCTTGTCATGATTTCATTCTCCCTAGTCTAAAGATTTGATGCTCCTTTTCATAAATTATTTCACGGTAATATGTGTTCCCCCTACTTTGGAAGAATTTCCCTGAATTATTCAAATTCTGTCAGTATATTCAGGTATTGTTCTTTTATAAAAAATTTAAATATATGCCTTAAAAATTTTTAATAACTTTATAGGTATAACAGATTAAGTATTCTTTTCTGGTAGAAATATAGTTACTCATCTTCAGTGTATTTGATCATCTTGGGATAATATCTCTTTACTACTAATATGTTCTGTCTGCTTCGTGTTTTATATTTTCCAGAGAATTTTTACATAGATTATTTGATTTCTTGTTTATAGCAGCCTTGTGGGATAACCAGTGCAGATGTAATAATGCCCTTCCATTTTGCAGATGAGGAAATTTGGATTTTTGCGTTCTGTAACTTGGCCAAGGTTTCAAAGCTTAAAAAGCAGAAATGAATTTAGAACTGCACTTTCTAATTTAGTCTGAATTAATTTCAGAGTCTGAGTTATAGAGATATTACTGAATTTCTTCATAGATTGTAAATTATTAAAAAACAACACTTGCAGACTTTAATGTATTTATTGTGTTGATTCAATTTGGGCCTACATAATACTGGTACTGGTCATAGTACTGGTACACTGAATATTCATTATAAGGCCCATTGTTATGGGTTATGAAATAATTCATTGTCATATTGATGCTGTATGTTCAGAATTAGTACTTTGTCAGTGTATAAGTATTGGTAAAGGAGGCAAATGTCAAATATTATTAACATTAATTACATTCAAGTTGTTTGACATCGCTAAACACATTGGAATTACTGTATTTTTCAGACTATAAGATGGACTCCCCCCAGTTTGGGAGGAAAGGGGGGTGCATCGTATATTCTGAATATAGTTTACCTGACTGTGGGGGCGGGGTACAGCAGCCTATGTTATTTATGTTGTTAAATATTTTACCACATTTTTTGCTTCAAAAAATTATTTTTCTATTTTCCTCCTCTAAAACCTAGGTGTGTCTTATGGTCTGGTGTGTCTTATAGTCCTAAAATACGGTATTCACTGATTATGTAATTGGGGCCTCAGAGTTCTACTCATATTTTTATAAGTAGCATGGAGAGGAGAACATAACTACACTGACTATAACTGAGGTTTGGGGGAAGGAGAACAAGATTTCTACCAGTTGAATTTGTAGTCCTATACTTGGAAACAGTTCTGTTTAGATTAAAACCTAAACTGGTCTTTGGTGGAAAGGGACTAAGGATAGGTGAAAATGTATTTAGGGGGAAAGTATTTTGAGTTTAATTTAATTACTTGATATAATTATAGATCTCTGTGTTTGCAGGAGCATTGACTAATGAAATAAGAATGCTTATTCTCAAAGGTGACTTTTTTTTTTTACTCTTCTGGTCCCAAGATTATGGCCAGAGGGATAGCACTGTCACCAAGAATAATTTGGAGGTTGCCAAGGACTTGTTTTAAAGTGTTTTCAAGTCTGACCGAGAACTCTGACATTTAGAAAACAAACAAAGAAGAAGAATGCCTGTTCTCCACCACCCAACTAAAGATTTCATCTGTGATGAGTTTAGTGCATCTGGGTTTGCTTTGTGATGAAATGTTTCTAAACAGAGATCTGCTTCCAGTAGAGAAGCAGTGTTACCGGATGGGCAGAAGGCTCCAATTTAGTGCTTTTCATGAGATTGTATTTGGTGACTGCATAATTGTGAAGTTTAGCAATACAATCTGAGTATGCTTTTTTCTCTAAAAATTAGAATTTGTAAAAGAAAGACGATTCTCCATCCTTCCTTATACTCTACATCAAGGGTGTCCAACTCATTTTCACCAGGGGCCTTCTAATGTAATTTCAACTCCTTAACAGTTAAGGGGTAGTTACATTTATACAGTCCTAAAATTATTTTGGCCCTTTGAAGGCAACCGTGAGGCTGATGTGGCCCCCGGTGTAAATGAGTTGGATACCCCTACTCTACTTTCATACAACCATAAACTTGACTGTGGTGTACATGTTCCTGGTTTCTCTGGAGTATATATCTAGAAGTGGAACTACTGGGTTATACACTATGTATATATTTAACCCTACTAGACAGAGCTAAACTTACCTCTGCTTTTAACTCTTGTTGAATATTTTTAAGTTGAAAAACTTGATAACATACATAATGTTGCAGTCGACACCTTTCTTGCATGTAATACTTCTTTTATGTTACTCTTGCATATAAACATTTTGTTGAAGCTACATTGGTTTTAAAAGAGTACTTATCTGCTCTACTACCATTGTGACTAAATTGTGATGGGGTAGGGTGTTGTGGTAAACAAAAGTAATTAACCTTGAAAGTGGAGAGTAAACAGAATATTCTGAATTATTTTATTGTCCTTAATGGGGATAGCAGCCATCAGATCAGTTAAATAAACCATTATTAAAGTGGTAAGAAGAGTACAATCTACTAATAAATTGCTTAAGTAAAAAATGAATACTGTTTAACAAAATCATTTAGTCTCTGAACTAAATTTTTAGTTTGACTCTTTTATTAGTATGATAAAAATTAGATGTGTTTTGAAGTATGTATATATATATATATATACACACACACACACTTTAAAAATATTTTATTTATTTTTAGAGAGAGGGGAAGGGAAGGAGGAAGAGTGGGAGAGACACATCAGTGTGTGGTTGCCCCCCATGCGTCCCTACTGGGGACCTGGCCTGCAACCCAGGCATGCGCCCTGACTGGGAACGGAACAGGTCCATGCTCAGTCTACTGAGCCACACCACCCAGGGCTACACACACACACACACACACACACACACACACACACACACACACACATACTTTGACAAATAGAATCAGATTTTAGATTCACTAGTGTTTTTTTCCATGGCTGTTAGTTATTAATCTCTTTCTTCTCAATTTCCTCAAACCTGTCCTGTTTTTGTTTGTTTCTTTGTTTTTTATCCTCACCCAAGGACATGCTCATTGATTTTAGAGAGAGGGGAAGAAAGGGGGAGAAAGAGGGAGAGAAAGGGAGAGTAACATCAACCAGCTGCCTCTCTTGTGTGCCCTAACCTGGGACTGAACCCATAACCCAGGTATGTGCCCTGACTGGGAACCGAACCTGTGACCTCTTGGTTTATGGGACAACAATGTTCCAACCAACTGAGCCACACCAGACAGGACTCAAACCCCTCCTGCTTTTAAAGAGAAGGCATGCAGTTTACTTTGGAATTCAGGATTAGGAAGTAAATGTCTATATTCACAGTCTACTAATTGTCCAGGCCCTATGCTAATATTCTTTGATTTAAATCATTGTCAGTGTTTATTTGATATTCAAGGCAAGGATTCTGAATGCTAATTTGTTTCTAAGTACCTCAAGGGATAGCCTGAAATTAAAATAATTTTAAGAAATTGATCTGTAATTTAAATTTTTACTAATGTTCATTTCTAGTAGGAAGGTAGAAAATGAAGTGAAATTTCTTTTAAGAGTTTATTTATTTATTTTTAGAGAGAAGGGAAGGAAGAGACAGAGAGGGAGAGAAAGAAACATCAGTGTGTGGTTGCCTCTTATGTGTCCCCCACTGGGGACCTGGCCTGCAACCCAGGCATGTGCCCTGACCAGGAATCAAACCAGCAACCCTTTGGTTCACAGGCCGGCATTCAGTCCACTGAGCCACACCAGGTAGGGCCAAAGTGAGATTTATAGTGGTTGGATATATACATAGTAAGAAAACTACAAAATATATGCAGGGTCATTTTTCTAGTCTTACGTGTCTTTCAGAAATGTATCTGTTCTGTCTGAAAACTTGTGCTTAAGGTTCATTGAAATATGATTCAGAGTAGATATCAAGAACCAGAAAGAAGGACTCATTTATCTTCCCTTTAATATTTTAGGCATGAAGAAATTCTGCTTTGTAAGGAACAAGTAAAGTTAAGGTATATAAAAATCTAATGTATTTGTTTTGGACACATTCCTGAAAGTCTTGTGTTTTTGAAGTCTCTATATCCAAAGTTAATTTCAGTCTTATCATGCTCTAAAATTTTGGTTTGTGGTTATTTAAAACAAAAGCCAGGTAAGGACTTTAAAGTGATTAAATAACTGAACTTAGTCTTTAGGTATTTCATAGAATCCACTTTAGAGCAAAAAGATTCAGAATAATGGAACCTGTGGTGGCCTAAATGTCCCATGGCCTAATTGCCTGCCTTTAAGGACACTAGAGCAAATTCAGGTTAAGCATGTCCACTATAACTATGTTTAATTTCAAGGAACTCATAATAAGCCTTTTGGTTTATGAAATTATAGAAATAGAATATTGAACTAAACAAAGACACAGTAGTCAACCCTTAAAGAGAGTTGAAATTTTTGTTAAAGGATCAATATTACAGCCTAGAATCTGAAGTTAAACAAAAGAAAGCCTTTAAACTGATGAAATATGTATAGAGCCAATATACTAAGTTTATCAGCCACTCAGAGTTGTTACCCACACTGTGAGCAAAAACACAATCTAAACATATGGTAAACTTGCACATAAGTTTGTCTGAACTTGCACATTTTAAAGTACAGTCATACACTGCATGATGTCATTTTGGTCAATTACGGACTGCATTCACAACAGTGGTCCAGTAAGACTCTACTGGAGTGGGAAAATTCTCTTGCTTTAAAGTCATAGCCATCACAGTGTTGTAGCACAACGCATTTCTCACATGTTTGTGGTGGTGCTAGTGTAAACAAACCCTCTGCACGCCAGTCATATAAAAGAACAGCAATACAGTTATGTACTGTACATAATACTTGATGATACAACAAGCAACTGTGTTACTGGTTTATGATTTACTATACTGTACTTTTTTTTTTTAAGAGAGGGGGGAAGGGAAGGAGAGAGAAACATCAACCAGTTGCCTCTCGCGAGTGCTCCAACTGGGGACTGAATCTACAACCCAGACAATGTGTCCTGACCAGGAATCAAACCTGTGGCTTTTTGGTTTATGGGATGACACTCCAGCCAACTGAGCCACATTGGCCAGGGCTGTGCTATACTTTTTATTGTTATTTTAGAATGTACTCTATTAAAAAAAGTTTGCTATAAAACAGTATGCTGTGTTAAACTGGCAGAAGTCTCATACATTTTGTGAGTACATTCTCTTAAGTGCATCAGTTTTTCTTGTGCTTAATTTAGTCTCTGTTTTGTACTGTGACGTGCTTTGCTATATGGGCTTATAGCCTAGGAGCAAGAGGCTGCACCATAGATTGTAGGTGTGTAGTAGGCTAGACCATGTAGGTTTGTGTAACAGTCACAGAATGACGCATTTTTCAGAATGTGTCCCCACTGTTAACATGTGACTGTCAGTAATCAGAAAGGGGAAGGCTAGAGAAGTCTGACACATGGCTGTAGTGGTGACAGCTCATCATAATGAAGAGTCTTCACAGATCGGAAAATACCCTGTTCTCTCTCTCTCTCTCTCTCTCTCTCTCTCTCACACACACACACACACACACACACACACAGGTTCAGAAGATAAAATTTATGACTTGGCAGGTTGCCAAGAAGTGGTTAAACTTTTGGCCCTGAAACAGTTAATGTTTGAGGACTTGGAAATGGTTCATACTTGTTCAAGAGTTTTTACTTTATTTAAAGGGACATGTGATAATATATGTGATTTTGAGGTTCTTGAGTTCTTTTATCTTTTAAATAATACAAAACATTTTTCTTGAAATAATTTTTAAATGTCATTACCTTTCTTACTATAAATAAATTATCCTTTCTCAGATTATTTACCTCAGTCTTCTATTTCATATCGAATTCTGACAGCTTCAGTTTGAGAAAGTGAGGTTAATGAAATCAGAATTGGACAGTTGGCAAAGGTATGTTTTCTCATGAGACTAGAAATGAAGAGAGTCTTACTATGGTGATGTACAGTTCTTGAAGAAGTCAAACAACAGTGTTCAATACAGACAGGTGAGGAGTACATTTTTTAATTAGTAATATATCAAAAATCAAAATATGACTGACAGTCTTAACTACTGATGTATTTTACATACAGATATTCCTTTATACTGTGAATATAAATCTATACATTATCCTGGTGATTATGTAATTTTTTAATTATATAATTCCAAGTTTTATTGTCTGGATTTTTTCAATCAGTTCTTCCTATAATTTTAATTTTTCTTTATTCCTGAACTAAAGCAAACCTCTCTGTTATCTAGTTCTCTGTGAATAGTAATAATTTAAATACCTGTGGAATGTTACTATTAGTACTTACCTTTATAATTTGTAAAGCATTGTCAAATACATTATTTGATTTAATTATTACAACCTGTGCAATAGGTGATTCAGGGTTGTTTCTCTTTATCCTTAAAGTGGATTAAAGAGGTTGGTAGTTCTGATTTCTCCAGAAATTAAATTTGTGACTTAATTTTTTTCAAATCCCCCATTGTTTTCACCTTGTAGATTAATCCTCTGGTAAAACCCTTAATAGAACAAAGAAAATTTTTACATTTTGAACACTCATTACCTACAGCATACATGTAATAGACTTTCATTTCATAGTTGGTTTTTACCAGTTGGATAAATTAATGTATATTTCTATGTAGCCTTATTTTAAATAGCAGATTTTGTGAAATGATTTATACAGGTATTTTACAGAATTTTCTGTTTTTATATTAGAAAAAGAAAGTCTTAACTATTAAATATCAAAATAAGTTAAAATTAAAAGCAGTTCTACCCAACTGTTGTGTATGTAAGAACCTGAAAGATTTCCTTTATTTTTATTTATTTTTTAATATTTTATTTATTTTTAGAGAGAAGGGAAGGGAAGGAGAAAGAGTGGGAGAGAAACATCAATGTGTGGTTGTCTCTCATGTGTCCCCTACTAGGGACCTGGTCTGCAACCCAGGCATGTGCCCTGACTGGGAATCAAACCAGAGACCCTTTGCTTCACAGGCCTGTGCTCAGTCCACTGAGCTACACCAGCCAGGGCAAGATTTCCTTTAAGTAATTAGAGAAAATGCCTTCTCAGTGTTAATTTTGTCACTGATACCCATTTGACTTTTAAGTATACATTCCTGAAATCTGTGATGAAGACTCACAGTTTCACTAATATGGATTGACAAGGGCTGTCTTGAAAGAACTAGTTAAATGTGGTAGGGAACATGTAGGCTGACTACAGGTTGAACACTTTCTTTGGAGGTCCAGGCTAGGTATCTTGGAACCATCAACTTAAAAAGGATGTCCTGGTAAATAAATAGCTTTAAAATAAGCACCGACCTCTAATAGTGTGCATTTCTAAATCATCTTGATTGATTTTGAACCGCAGTTTTATATAATGTGCTATGTTTATTAGTAGCAGAGATAGATGTAGAGATTCCCATGAACATACAAACCTTGCTGTAAGCATAGGTACTGAGATTTAGTCTTTAAGCACTTAACACTTGCTCTTCTCTCTCTAGGAGGGGCTATCTGTAGGCAGCCTTTGTGATTGAGGATAGAGCAGCAGCAGGAAGCAAGAAATATTAGAAATCAAGAATCCTGAATTCCCAAATAAGGAAGGTTTCCTCTTCTTACATTTAAATATGGGTTTGTCTGAGCTGGGAATTTACAACGCTTCAGAATACTAGGGTATGTTTTAATTGAAATCATTAGGAAGATTTTTGTTCTATCAAAATTGCCTCCTTAGCTGATACAATCTTAGTACAGAGCATTCACAGTAAAATGTGAGCTTTGTTTTAAAATACACATTACACTGTAAAGCAATGATCAAATTCTGTTATATTTTGTAGCTGTATCACAAAGTTGAATGTGATATTGGACTACTTTCATTATGACAGTAAGCAAATTAGATAATTTAAAAATTACTGAAATGAAAGCCATGTTGATTTAAATACATGACTAATTAAGGATATTTTTGTTGTATATAAGGAATCAAATGGTAAATGATCAAGGGGTATTTATTTTGTTGTTTATAAGTAAAAAAGAAAATTTGGGACAATTTTCTCCTCAGCTAAAATTATGTTTAGTAGAATAGGTATGTGTATTAGTTAAAAAATTTTGACACTAGTTTTAAATGTGAATTTTTAAAACCACACAACTCAAAAACAAAATTAGTAGAAAAAAACTCTGAAAACTAAGATTAAAATGTCTGGATTTTTTAAATGGGTATCTGCTGGATCTACGGGTGAAGTACCTTTGGAACTGCCTTAGAATTAGGGCAGTGTGAACAATTTTTAAAATATTTATTTGTAAAACTTTTTCGTCTCGTTTTGTATAATTTTATGCCTTTGTATCTATTGATGGTGTCCTTGAACTTGTATCGAAGCAGTTCTGTACTTTCCTTACAGTAGACATTTAACAAAGAAAATTAAGGATCTACTTAAATTTTTTAAATCTGTTTTTAATTGATTGAAGTATGCTATAAAGACTTAATTTAGAATAACTGAATTTCTTTTCTGTTACCTCTTTGAAATGCTTTGCTAAACTGTTCTGTGGTCAGAAATGGATATCATCATTTCTCAGTAGCCAATAGCAAAGGTATTTTGACTATGCTAGGTAGCTTGTTTTCCAACCTGTGCTTTTGTTAACTTGGAGGGGATAACTTGGTTTTAAGAAATTTTTCTCATGGCTGAGACGGAGTCAGAGAAAATCTATTAACTTATTTTGTAGTGTGAACTAGATTATTTTTAGGAAATATAAGTATATGCATGCAGGTTGTAATAATAGCAGTGATTTTCCAACTACTTTTTTTTTCTTTTTATAATAACAGTGGAAACCTTCAGATGAAGCCTTAGACAAATCTATGCTAATTATGCTTAAGTAAAAAAGAATAAAAACAAAATCTTACTCAAAGATTTGTTTGAATCTTTGAGTAAGATTTGTTTGAATCTTACCCCATTGTTTGAAATAGACTGGAATGGAATAGTTAAGGTTAAAGCTGTCAGTTTGAACATTGTAAAGGAAAAAGTGTCATTTAGCTGAGGTCAACAGAGGAAATTTAATAAAGAAGAAAGTGGGATTGTGGAATTTTAGAGTTTTTGAAAGATTCAGTGCATCTGATACAGAATAAATTTTTTGAACACAGAGTGGCTTTCTTTGTATCTTAGTAAGTATTACATATTGTAATAGATACAATAAAATGACAGACTTTACTTTTTACATGTCATGAACTTCTGCAAGTCCAACAAAAAGTCATGAGGAACTCATGTCTCTCACATGTGTATGTAACGCATACATCACAGTGAGGGCTGTCTTTCTGTTAATGGGCTAGGCTTTTTTATTGTTGGTCCAGTAAACCTAGTTGGCGGAGTTTATACAATACTTAGTATATATTACACACTCTTCTAAGAATTTCAATTCCTTTTTTCCCATAAATGCTTTAGAAATAAGTTATATTATTAACCCCATTTTCACTAGTATGGTAACTGAGACACGGGGGCTATGTGACTTGCACAGGGTTACATCCAAGGACAAATACGAAAGTACAATGTAAATCCAGAGCCTCTACACATTGTCTTAATAGCTTTTAGCAAATGTTTTTACATTGAAGGAAACACATTTTCATTTATTATTTTATCTTTTTAGGAATGTTTATCAAAATTTACCTTTAATAGAAATTAAATATATTTTGAAACTTTATAAAAATGAGTACTTGAAAGTTTGTACTTATTCTTTTGAATTATAAATGTATTAACATAACCTCTAGACTAAGAATTACATACAGTAAATGCTAATGTGGTAAATACAACCACATAATTCTGATGTTGAGTTCTTTGAACTAGAATTGCTCTTGGCAGTGCATTATTAAAAAGATGTGGACACCTTTATCACTACTTGTAGTAAAGCTTAAGGTCAAGTTTTCTGTGGGGAAAGTAGCATCGCCTTAAATCCATAGTACTTAAAAGTAAGCAGAGCTGGATTCTATCATCTGAACCAATTTAATATATAGTAAGGTCATATTTCCTAATTCAGATGTGGTTAAATCATTTTATCAAGGCTTACTTACTTAACTTTAACAGAGTAATAAAAAGAACTCAATTTATATTTTGGCTGCTCCAAAATGAGTTGCAAGCTTTGTGAAAATATATAGTCACTGGCCTCACATAGTCTGACCTACCTGCACTTATACAAGTATATCTTGATATGAACCAAAGTCCAGAATGGTAAAAATCACAACAGTTTTTCACTAGGGAATATAAGATTTTATCAAAATTCCATCACGATCTGTGGTCTTTCAGACTATTGCTATTAAGTTGTTACAGTCCTGTTTGGATTTTGAGTTAGTATATTGAACCATAGATATTAATAATATCACCTTTTAGTATTTTCATTATAGATTGTAGATCTATTCTTCTATTCTGGTAGACAGCTCTATCTTAAATTGTTCAGATAATACAAACCCATTCCTGTGCAAATGTTTAATAGTATTATCAGAGAAATTCTTTAAAAAATGATTTTAGAGAAACAGAGAAACATCAGTTTGTTGTTCCTTTTATTTATGCATTCATTGTTGGTTCTTGTATGTGTCCCGATGGAGGATCAAAGCCACAGTCTTGGTGTATCAGGAAAATGCTCTAACCAACTGAATTACCTGGGCAGAACTTAGAGAAACTCTTTAATTATAGTTGGTTCACATCAGTTTTTAAGGTATAGGAAATATATTTAGATGAAAATAAAGTTGGGTTAGATTCACGGAATGATTAAGGGACAATTTTTTTTAGTCTATGAAGAATGCTTGCAATTCCATGTGAAAAGGACCAGCAACCTAATAAAAAAAAAGCTAGGCAAAGGGCATGAATAGACAGGTTTTTTTTAAAGCAATTTGAAAGCTTATAAAAATATGAAAATATGTTCAACCTAACTCAAAGAAGGAAATGTAAAATTAAAACTAATGTGGCGTACTACACTGTTAGGAATGAGGCAGCTCCGAAGTGGTGGTATAAACTAAGATACATAACTAAGAGACAAAATTCAATTCAGCATAGGGATTATATATTTTATATTCAAAATACATACACATATATACTCATTGGTTATCTCTGAAAGGATATATAAGGAACTACCATATTTTCCCGTGTATAATGAGCTCCCATGTATAATGCACACCCACATTTTTGGCCTAAAGTTTCAGGGGGAAAATACTACATTTTAATTAATTAATATTAAAAAAGACTGATTATCATATGTCAGGGTATTATTTTGCATTCAGATATCATTATTGCTTTCTAGGGTTATACTTTTAACACATAAGCATAAGTAAAAGAATTAAAAACATTTATATAGATGAGGAATTAGCACTACCCATTTGTAGTGCGCATCCTTGTTTTTCTCTCAAAATGTGGGCAAAAAGTGCACATTATACATGGCAAAATGTACTTCTGGAGAGGGCATCTAGGAGGCTGGGGGGAGGGAGTGGGGGAATTCTTTATTTTCTTCATATCTTTAAAAAAACTTTATTGCCGGTTTAACCGCCTATTTAAAATAATTAATTTGGGGAGACATTATTGTCATAGAATGTTAAAATCTGTAAGGGACCTGTACAGGCCATTTTACAGCTATTAGCAAGTTGCCCGAGAGCTTTGGATCACAGACTTCCTGATTGCAGCCCCGCTCTCTTTTCTTGGTCCCAGTAGTTCTCAGCTGGACGGGCAGGTCTCAGAAGGTATTATTTTGGTAACAGAGATCTTTTCTCTCTTCGTCATTATCTTCCACTTGCCTAGAATGCAGTAGATGCTCAATAAGTATTTGAATGAATTAAATTTGAGATATTTATTACTCTGTGGCAGGATACAGGTGGATAGTTTTTCATCTTTACTCCTTAAAAGAAGAAAAAATATTTTTCTGTTTCCTTTTCCAGTGGAAAGCTTATCATAAATATGTTTGTTATAGAGTAATTTTCACTTATTCCAAGGAAACGTTTCTCAGGTTTTATTTTGTTAATCAATTTCAGACACTAGCTTCATGCCCTATTGACCGAAAACCTTTCCAGGCAGTGTTTAAAGTCAGCGCATTGGAAGGCTGTGTTAAGGTAAGGCTTTTATTTTACTTTGCAACACGAACAGTATCAACTTAATTCAATTTGTTTTAAAAATTTTCCAGTTTGAGTAAATTTGTGACTTGTTCAACTTTAGGTTCAATATGTGATTATCATTCTTCTGCAGCATGAAAAGCTCAGACTTTTCTACAATGATTTAGAAATTCCAACTCTTTGTTTACTTTGCCCCCTAAAGAGGACATATTCATTGTAGTCATACTGTGTTTTTTACAAAATGTATCAAATCCCTAAAAGCAGTTTCACATTAAGTCTTAGTTACAGAATATTTCAGTTTTTAGAATATTGTTAGTGTGAGGATGTCTATGTCTATTGATTATTGGATAGTGCCTTGAATATATTTTTTAATTAAAAAAAATTTTGAGATGGATTGTTAGATTCAAAGACCAACCCCATAAGAAATTTAAGTCCAAGATATCTGAAAGGTATGTGTTCATAAAAGAAAACATAATGTTGAAGAGATGAAGCTGGTGAAATTAAATATAAAATGGTGTCTTTATTCTTTTTTTTTTAAATTTATTTATCTTTAGAAGGGAAGGGAAGGAGAGAAGGAGAGAAATATCAGTGTATGGTTGCTTCTGGTGCATCCCCTGCTGGGAAATGGCCCCTGCTGGGTACTGGCCTGCAACACAGGCATGTGCCCTGACAGGGAATCGAACCGCTATCTTTTGGTTTGCAGGCCCATGTGGTGTCTTTATTCTTAAATTCTGGTGCTTCCTTGAAGGAAAATGAGTTTAATTGGAGGAAGATAAGGAGGTTTATGGAAATCTTGAGAGGGACTTCTCAGAGTTTCAAGGTTGGCATAGGCAGATGACTTCATTTTTTATGAAGTGTAATTTTATTGTAATGCTTAATGTTAATCACATCTTTGAGATGCATGCACTCTACATACCTCATTGGTATTAATTATTAGGAACCATGATTGTAATTTGTATGCACATTTTGGGCTTACAAATAAAAGAAAAAAGAAATTGGAACATATTCTCAAGTTAATGAGTAAAAGGTTAAAAGAGAAAAGGACAGTAAATGGTAAGTAAGCTGTCTAAAAATGAGATTTTTAAAAATAACTTATATAGTTTAACCAGATGCTGTTATTTGTTCCAACAGTGTCCCTTATAGCAAAAGAAAGTCTTTGCTCATGTGTTGCAGTCATTTATCATGTCTCATTTCTTTCAGTCTGGAACATTTTCTCAGGCTTTTTTCCCCCCCCATGACCTTGATAGTTTTTAAGAGTAAGTTAATTAATTAGTTAATAATTAAAATTTTATTGAAGCCCTGGCTGGTGTAGCTCAGTGGATTGAGCGCAGGTCTGCAAACCCAAGGATCACAGTTTGATTCCCAGTCAGGGCACATGCCTGGGTTGCAGGCCAGTTCCCTGCAGGCCAGTTCCCAGCAGGGGACGCACTAGAGGCAACCATACATTGGTGTTTCTCTCCCTCTCTCCTTCCCCTCTAAAAATAAATACGATCTTCTTTCAATTCTCTAGGTATACTTTCTCCTTAAGTCTTCTTTAAAGTTCTGTCATTAGCCTAGATCTTTTTCCATAGAAACTAGACTTGTAATTTCAACCACTTGTTAGATATCTCCATCTATAATACAAAAGGAATCTAAGATTAACAAATCCAAAAATCATCAGGGTGTTTTTCATTTTTTTTCTCTCTGCCCCATCTTTACCTGTTCTTCTGCTCAATGTCTTAAATTCGTTCCTTTTCCATGCCTCTGCTATTAACTCTTTGTAGGCTCTCATGCTACCATCTGGACCAGTTCTGCCAATAGAAACATACAAGCCACTGTGTAATTTAAAAATTTTAATGGCCATGCTATGACCAGTGTGGCTCAGTTGGTTGGGTGTTGTCCCACAATCTGAAAGGTTGCCAGTTGGATTCCTGGTCAGGGCATGTGCCTGGCTTGCAAGTTCGGTCCCTGGTTAGGGTGCACACAAGAGGCAACCCATTGATGTCTCTCTGTCACATCGAAGTCTCTTACAGTCTCTTCCTCCTCCCCTCTCTAAAAACAAATAAGTAAAACCTTTTTAAAAACTTTTAATAGCCATATTAAAAGAGTAAAAAACAAAATTTGTAATATAATTTATCTAATTCAACATATCTACTGTATTATTTCAACATGTAATATTTAAAATAATTATTGAGAGAGTTTTCCATTTTATTGTTCTAAGTCTTTGAAGTCCTGTGGATATTTTTCACTTACAGTACATCTTAATTCAGACTAGCCACGTTGCAAGTGCTCAGGAGCCACCTGTGGCTGGTTACTATTTTCTCAGTGTAAATCTTGACCATGTATTCTAAGAGCTTTCTTTGAGTTTCCTGGCTTTTATAGTCTTTCCTTAACTGCTTCATTCTTCACATCACTGCCACAATTAATCCTAAAAAACAAATTTGATCATCTCTTTCACTTGCTTTAAAAACCTCACTTATTCTCATTCCTGTGGAATTATTTCATTATTCATGTCCCTTTATAATCTGGTCCCACTACTAATCTTCCCATAGCCTACTAATCTTCCCATCTGCATTGGTTTCTGTGGTTTTTTCTTAATTTAGAGTAATTTTATACACATTTTACTCATTCTCTAAGACCAACTCAAATAATTTACTCATTAAAGTCTTTTCTAGAGTTAATTTTCAGTCAGTGCATATGATGATCTGTGCTTGTCTCTCTGCTATGAGCACTTACTCTGTTTATATGCATATCTCCCACTCTTGTTTTCCCAGAGCTTAACACAAGTATTAAGTTTATGGTTTTAGCATGCTTGAATGAAGAAGCATATGTACTTGGGCTAAAGTTTCATTCAGACAATTTTGTTTCTTTACTTTTTTTTATCTTAAGGGCAAATTGATAGGTTATCATTTGTGGTGCTAGATTATCACTCTAAATAGGTGATTCTCCTTTTCTCATAGGTTCAAGTACAGAGACAGTCGAGAGAAACAAAAGACAAGATAAATGAAAACTCTTTTAAGAAACAGCTCTTCAGTCATGAAAATTCTAAAACCTGTACAAGGTTAGTAATGAACTTAAGAAGTGGAGTCAAGATGTGTAGAACCAGAAAAGTAGCTAGTAAAGAAAAAAACGAGTACTTTAAAAAATGATGTGTGGTTTAAATGTATTTAATTGCTTCTTTTAACATATATACTTGATAATTTAAGGAAGGACCAGCCGAAATCTGAGAATATAATTTGAGCACAATCTTTGATAAATTGGTTTTCTTAGTTTTTATCCTAATCTGCTTTTAGATTGCTATTTTAATAAAATAAAATGTTATAACAGTATAAAGTTTTTGTTAAGTTTTATGAATGCTCACTCATTTTTGTATATATCACAACCAACAGTGGATAAGCAGTGGTACTCAGACCATTTTTTGGGTAGCACTGCTTTAGTCTTTATGGACAAAAAGTAGAAAGTAACCAATGTTGTAACTCACTCTTCACGAGACAGTTTAAGTACTTATTATCTTTCTCATTTTGCTTCTTTGTAGCAGGCACTTGCTATCTACTGTAACAAATGTTTACATTTTTAAAAGATGTAATATGTTTGGATTTGTTTGTTTAATTCCTATTGTTGAAGCATAATTGCCTAGAAATACAGTGCTTTGTACTCGAGTTTAATAGATATCTACCATATCTTTTACCTAAGTCAAGTTAGTAATGTACTGGAAATTAATTTATTATTAAGACATAAAATAACTTACTGTGGTACTTACAAAATCGAAGTCCATTTTGATCTGAAATATATTTAGAGCTATTCAAAAGTTGTATGGTTAAGTCAGTATACTGTCAAATTCATGATTAAATCTATAATTCATTAGTTCATTTCATCAGAATACTAATTTCTTAAGAGAATAAATTTATTTAGTTACCAAACTAGTTGACAGTAGTCTCTGAGATTTATTGAATCATGCCACTAATTTATAATACTATAGCTTTCTAGATCTTAATTTTGGGGAAGTTATGGACTTCTTTAAGAATCTGAAGAAAACTGTAGATACCTTCTTCCAGAAAATCATGTTATAAGACATAGTTACAGACAAAACTTTGTATATGATTTTAAGGGATTTATGAAACACCCAGTACAAGAGCCCACCTAATAAGCCCATGTTAACTGCATTAGAGCAGATTTTATTTACATTTCCTTTTAACTGTATCTGAGTCAGTTTTGATTCATGCATATGTTTACATGACAGGTAGTAGCACATTTTTCCCAGGCATAATTAAGAATACATTTGCCAACTTCATTCTTAATACAGCTCCTAACACTGGTTGTGACAGTGTCATGGATATGTATTTTTGCACTTTCTCAGAAAAACCCCAGTTCTCTTGGCTCTTGCTGAGAGTGTTGTGCTCATCACTATATGACCTGTAATAGGGTCATACAGTGGGTCCGTGTAACACGGCTGAGGTAGTCTCCATGCTGAACTGCTATTTCTCAGGGATTTACTGTAGGGGGTGCTGTGCAGAAATAACATACAAATAGGTAATTTGCTTTGCCCATCAAGTCCTGACCCTTAAATGATTTCTTCCAAGGTGGAAAATCAGTTATTGGGTATTTACAGTATATTATTTTAAGAGTCTTTTGGAAATATTTTTAGCATTCCTCCCATTCAGTCTTATGTTTACTGTCTATGCCTAATCTCTTCAGCACTTCAACAGTGTCCATTCAGCGTTACTTGTCCTTCTGAAGCAGTAAAACCCTGACAGACACCCTTTCTTTCTGATCATTTCTGCCAGTTCTAGAGAAAGGGATTGCAATGGTATTTTGTTTCTTGGTAGTAAACCTCCATGGTCAGTCACTGCAATGGGGAATGGCAACTAGCTATTCTTTCTTTGCTACAATTTAAAACTCCGTGCTTAATAAATTTCATTCTAGTAGGCAGGAAGTTGAAAATAAATGAGCAAAATGGCAGTTTCCTCTTAATTATTTCACCTCTTTTTTGATGTTTACAGAAAAAAAATCATAGGAGAAGATCTATTAAGTGCAAAGTTTTATGACTTGAAGATGCATAGTAAGTGGCTTTTTACTTTTGTTTCCTACTTTTTTTTTGTTTCTCACTTTAGTGCTTTTGTCAGAGTTCTAACTAGTAACATTTTGGTTTGGAAAACAGTCATGCACAGAACTCTGTTGAGCTCTGTACATTCTGTTAAATCCTATGCAAACTGCTTTGGTGGAATCATGCTTTTCCCTGCCCATTTTGATTTTATGCTAAGCCTGGAGAAAGGGAAGGGGGGAGTGGGTGAGTGAGAGAAAGAAAGGCAAAGAAAAGGATATTTTTAAATTACTTGGTGCCTAGCAACCTACATACATTATGGTCTTACTTCACTCATTAGTGCAGAAGAACTTAGGGGAGAGGGGATAAACTAACCTAGTGGACCAGTAACCGTAGTAGCAAGGGAAGTTTGTGACAGCGCGAAGTTCATTCACACTGCCAGAGGAAGTGCTTTGGTCTGTAGCCAGACTTCTAATTTGAAAGTTTGTTTCGGAATAAAGCACCGTTTACATGTATCTGTATGAGCAGTTAAATATTCAGTATACTGACTTTTGTTCTTATCTAGTACATAGTTAGTTTTTCAATACAGGAATCATTTCGGGCAGATCCTGAGAAAAATGGCACAATAATGACTTATGACTCCTCCTTGGAGCTCAGCCTGTTTGTTCTGTTTGAAAGAACAACTTATTATGAACTGTTTGTTAGCAAGGAGGTGAGCATTTAATTTCCAGGTTAGGTTACCATGAATTTATTTATAGATATAAAGAATTAATGAATTCATTGTTCTTAAAAGTAGATGATAATCAACTTTTTTAAAATTATGAATATACCAGGTTTGATGATGTTAATTGTGATTTCTGAATTTAATTAACATGATCTCAGAGGTTTATAGATTCCAGATTTACACATTAATAACTGTTCTGCCTTTGATAATTTACTGTTAAAGTGAAATTGTATTAAAAGGACTTAATGATTAGATGAGCATTTTTCTTTTGTTAAAGAATCTTAGATATCAAATTTCTTTGTTTTTCTTTGACATTACTGTAGATTAGAATCCTTTCTTAATGGATAGACTTTGCTTGGTAACTGTAGGATTTGATATAAAATTTACTTGGTAACAGATCTGATATAAAATTTAATCTTTCTCAAGATTAAATGATATTATACATTTTTATAGATAATTTGGCCTGCTCTCACTATGTTGATCTTAGTTTTAAGACTAATAAAATTTTCTCTTTATGTATATATCTGTTGCCTGGACTTTTTTTTTAGAGAGAAACCTAGGCAAATCTTACCTAAAGTGCTTCAGTGTAGTAAAAACCACAAGAACCCATGATTCATTGCATTTGAGATTTTTTTACAATTCAGAATTGAAATACTAAAGTTTTTAGTGGGTATCCTAAGCTAATTTAACATTGAGTGGCTAATTTTATAGTTCTTAAAGAAATTTATTAATGCCAGAAGGTTAACATTGTCCAAGGCCTATAACCTAATGTCATGTCTACTTAAGTGAAGTCATTTGTCAAATACTCATTTTACTATAAGTGGGTGTTGATGTCAGAAAGAACAGTAGGATGGAGGCAGAAAGGGAGATAGGTATAAGAGAAAAGTCTTTATCTTCTAAAGCAGTGATTTTCAACTGTTTTGCCGCAAGAATTTTTAAGACATGCAATACCTGACTAAATAGTCAGGGAACTGACCTTTTCCCCTTAGACTGTCAAATAAAAAAAATGGCAGTGATCAGTACAATAGTTGTCTGGTGTGAGTGAATCAAAATTATACCTACTTTTTGTAAGGTTGACAAAAAATGTAATTTGTGGTGTGCCACAAAATTTTAGTAGTTTATGTGTGCCATGAGCTGAAAAGGGTTGAATATCTGTTCTATAGTAAAAACAAACAAACAAAAAAACAGGATATAACTGAACTTGAAAAAAATCAAGGTAGAATAGTATAAGCATATTATTTAGAAATAAAGAGCAAATATTAGAAGAAACAGCTAAAGGATTTGATGAGTGTTTGGGAACAAAATCAAGAGTGGGATTCCTGTGGTTTTCTTTATAAGCCTAGAAGCGCTGTTTGACTTCTTAAAGTATGTGCATGCTTTATTTGATAAATATTAAATGAAAATATATATCACTGCTGTCCAAAGGCAGCTTTATGAGTAGGGTAGATTTACGCAATAGTCTCCAGGAAACCACAATTCAGACAAATCAACCAGTACTGAACACTTTTGAGATTGTTATTGGAGCTGCTCAATTATTACCTCAGAATCACACAGAAACTTTTGAAACAGCTTTTAGACTAGATTTTCACTCTTAGTGTTGGTCAGAGAACTGACAGTTGTTCCCATAGAGAGCATTTTGTCTAATGCTGGCTTCCCAAGGTAGGCTTTCAGGTGAAGAAATGCTATGTAAACAGTACACACTCATTAAGTCTTGAGTGAAGGACACCTGAATGAAAACAGTTCAGTACCTTTAGGGAGTAAGTACACTGTGTGGTTGCCATACAGCAGTTCTCTGTCTAGCTAAGGAAATAGTTAATTCTAAGAAAGTGGCAGGGTACCTATCACATTTTTATTTCTGGCTGCTTTAAGCAATTTTAAAAGTCTTTTAAATACACATCAAAGGGTAGGAAGATAAGTTCCTGGGACTCAGCCAGCACTGCACTCCCCAGTGTTGAAATTGTATTTGTTACAACAGTTCTGGGTGGGACATGTGTGAAGGATGGATAATAGCACGGAAGCAAACAGCTGTGCATAGTAACGTAAAAGGAAATAAGTAAAAAACAGGCTGTAACCAACTGGACTGACAGAAGAAACCCCAGGTTCACATGGTCATCTAGTAGCATGAAACAGGCCACCTAATTAGGGTGATCTCTTTTGAACAGTCAGTAAGCCCCCATGGCAAGCAGGGACAAAGAGTGAAAGACCAGTTGTCATTTACATTGTAGACTTTTTCCAGAGTTCAGAGGAGAAAGTGACAACAGTACCAGTGTAACTCACTGCAGACAGCCAGTGTATTGACTGGCATCTGAAGAAAACCAAGAGCAGTAAACTGTCAAGATGCTAACACAATTTTTGTGGTTAGCAGAAACTATTCTTTATACTCCTTAACCTGGAAGTATGTATTCATAGAAATTCCCAGATGGGACAGATAATGCTAAAAAATAAGCCATGAGCAGTGCAGCCAGAATCATTTCTGTAACAGAAAGCATTTTAAATCCACACTTCTGCTTTTCCTAATTGTAATTATATGAAGTGTGAGGAGGAAGGAGGGCCCTTACTGGAAGACGGTGCCGGTGGTTAAATGGTCCCGGTTCCCCCGGTCAGCTCTTGCTTGAGGTGAGTTAACAGGACCTGTTTCTTAGCTCATAGCTGGAAAAGGACATAAGAAATGCACTATTGATATGAAGTAATTTGACTTCTTACCTATACGTTTTTTGTTACAAGATGGTTTAAATTTGCATAGGGTACCAGAAAATGTTGAGTAGAATTTTAATACTCATGCTCTAAGCATAGCAGTATTACATGCTTTCCCAGTCATATCTGTTGTGGCCTCGTACATTTTTATATCTGTGGCTTAATAAGATAAGATAAAATTAGCATTTGGAAAAATTTATTTTGTTGAATATATTTTATTGATTATGCCATTACAGTTGTTCTATTTCCCCCCTTCATTCCCCTCTACCCTGCACACCCCTCCCCCACCATTCCCCCCTTTAGTTTATGACCATGCGTCTCATGTTCTTTAGATTCTACATTTCCCATACTATTCTTGCCCTCCCCCTATCTATTTTCTATCTATGGTCTATGCTACTTATTTTTTGTACTTTCTCCCCCTTCTCCTTCTCCCACTCCCCTGTTGCTAACCCTCCATGTGATCTTCATTTCTGTGGTTCTGCTCCTGATCTAGCTGTCCTCTTAGTTTGCTTTTGTTTTAGGTGTGGTTCTTAATAACTGTGAGTTTGCTGTCCTTTCACTGTTCATCTTTTTTATCTTCTTTTTCTTAGGTAAGTCCCTTTGACATCTCATATAATAAGGTCTTGGTGATGATGAACTTCTTGAATTTGATCTTATCTGAGAAGCACTTTATCTGCCCTTCCATTCTAAATGAAAGCTTTGCTGGAGAGATCAATCTTGGATGTAGGTCTTTGGATTTCATGACTTGGAATACTTCTTTCCAGCCCCTTCTTGCCTGTAAGGTCTCTTTTGAGAAATCCACTGACAGTCTGATGGGAACTTTTTTGTAGGTGACTGTTCCCTTCTCTTGCTGCTTCTAGGATTCTCTCCTTCATTTTAATCTTGGGTAATGTAATTATGATGTGCCTTGGTGTGTTCCTTCTTGGGTCCAACTTCTTTGGGACTCTCTGAACTTCCTGGATTTCCTGGAAGTGTATTTCCTTTGCCAGATTGGGGAAATTCTCCTTTATTATTTGTTCAAATGAGTTTTCCACTGGTGGCTGTTCCTCTTTCCCTTCTGGTACCCCTATAATTCGGATGCTGGAACTTTAAAGATGTCCTGAAGGTTCCTAAGCCTCTCTTCATTTTTTTTGAATTCTTGTTTCTTCATCCTTTTCTGTTTGGTCATTTTTTTCCTCTTTCTGGTCCACTCCTTTGATTTGAGTCTCAGTTTCCTTTCCATCACTATTGGTTTCCTGTGTATTTCCCTTCATTTCAATTAGTTTAGCTTCCATATGTTCCTCTAATTTGTGACTAAAATCAACCAGTTCTGTGAGCATCCTGATCACCAGTGTTTTGAACCATGCATCTGAAAGGTTGGCAATTTCTTGTTTGCTTAGATTTATCAGCTTTGGGACTCTGAGTTCTTCTTGAGCCATGTTTTGATCTGTTTGTGCCTGTTACGTATGAGGAGCGGAGCCTTAGTTGCTCACCAGGGCAGGGCCACCCCGGTTGCTGTTTTGTGATGCTGTATGTGGGGGCAGGGTCAGAGAGGGATAATGGCGGTTCTCTCTGCTGCTTTCACCGGTTTATCTGCACGTGAATGTGTGACCAAGGTCCGCCCTCAGTGAGTCTGCCCACTTCTCCACACCTGGGATCCGCCCACAGCTGCTGGTGCACCTGGGTCACGCACCAGGATGAGTCCAGTGGATCTTTCCTGCCTGATCCCCCTCTACTGCTGGCTCTGTCCCTCTTACTGGTTTGGCTGAAGGGTTTGTTGTTGTCAGACTTCCATGTAGTTCAATTTTCTGTGGTTTGGCTGCATTTTTGTTGCTAAAACTTTGTTGTTTTTAAACTCGGTTGTGTGAGAAGGTGAAGTGCTTCCACCTACGCCTCCATCTTGGCGGAAGTCTCAAGAGAAGATCTTTAAAGGAGAAACATTACCTGCTCTCTCTACTACATCTCTAGCATTTGGAAAAATTATGTAGATATAAGTAATGTTATTTTAAATCCAACTTTTCTACATATTTTAACTTTATTTTGTCAATATGAAGGTATCAGTACTGGTTTTACAACCTTTTAAAATAAAAATTAGGACAAGGTAACCAAGTCTTTTTGTGTTTTTGTACAGGAAAAACTAAATACAGTGAAATGGGAGGAAAGAAAAATACAACAATAAAGATAAAGGTTTGTTGAAAAATCTTTTTCTTAGATAATAATGATTGTTTAGTAGAGAACATTAATGTGTCAGGTATAAATACATATGATACCTGATATTTAAGAACAGCTGCTATGTACTTTTATGGAGGTTTTTTGTTTGATGTTTCAGTAACCTCTTTTTACTTTTTTAGCCTCGAAGATCAAATCAGTGTACAAGTCAGCACTTCAGAAGTTTTCTCTCCAATATATTTTCTTCTAGCAGTCCCACTGGAGAATCTGCTTTTACCTGTAGAGCTTACTGGTTAGTATTTTCTACTATTAATTTATGCTTTTTGTACTTCATGCTTCATTTGTAATTAACTTTGGTAGAAATTGAAACTCAGGCTAAACAAACATGAAAGCCCACCTTGTTTCTGTTTTTATTTCTTTCTGAAAATAAACTAGTTTTAGCAAAGAAAAAAACCTATCATTTTGTGGTGTTCTCTATCATGCAGTGACTGCCTCTGCTGGTGGGGCTTTGTTTCCATTAATAATAAATTAAGTTGTTCTACTGAGGCTTTTTGTGTGATGGTAGAAATGTAGGCTACTTGTTACATTGTGGCAGTAGTACCTGAAAAGCCAGAGCCCTTTCGAAGTAGATCCAGTCATCTTCAATCCATAGTGACTGGAAGTCGATACTAAGTAGATGTATGTGGACTTTGATAACTAAATTGGAGTTTTAAAATCACAGAGTTGGTTGAACTAACAAGACACATTATGATTTAATTTATGAGTTTAGCAAGGCATCAAAGAAAGCAATTACATCTGAATGGCCTTTGAAAAGCTGAACTGTACCCATTTTTTTGTTACAGAAACCATACCTTCTTTGATTTTCTTTTGTTCTTTGCTTAAGTTTCAGATGGGAACTATTGCACCTTCGTTTCTGCTGGAACTGCTTGCTGTAGCTTTGGTTCATGGGCTAGAACCAGTGTTGGTTGTTTTTCTCTCAGTAATGATATTAGTCTGATTTTTTAAAAATGCTATCATTTAAATAGAAATTCAAGCATTTGACTAACTGTAGGAATGAGTTCATTTTTAAAGTGTTTCAATAGAAAAAGGTTCTGATTTTTTTAGGTGTGATTTATAATGCTAGGTATGAAAATAACTGTATGTATCATGAACCCATTTGTTACTCCAAACTTAAATTTTTGGAATTCTGACAAAGGTGTAAAATTTATCTTTTAGTACAGAATTTATAGAAGCCAATGAAATCAGTGCATTAATTAGGCAGAAGAGACAGGAACTGGAATTGTCATGGTTTCCTGATGCATTACCTGGAATTGGAAGGTAAAAAAGAAATTGTTTACTGAAGTGTTCGAATGCTAACGTGAGCATATCGTAATACTTAAGTACAAATTATCTTATTTAGTAATTATGTTGCTAAGACAGTTTTGTGGAAACTATACTTTGGTGTTTCAGATGTTTAACAAAGCTTGCTATTTAAAGAGCCTCTTAAAGGGTTTTTCACTTGTTTAAAATGTAGATACTTGATTCATTTAAAAGGGAGAGGTACCTAAATGATAAGATTCATTGTTAGTATAGTATTCAGATCTGTCCTCCCTCCATTTTTCCCCATTCCAATCTTACCTGTGTGCCATTAGCTGAATCACTGCTTTTATTGTGGTGTCTTTCTTCCACAGTGTTCTTTTAAATAATAATTTGATCAAGTCCCTACTGTGCCTTGGCATTTATGACTTTATATGATGTAGCTTTTTCTTAATTTAAGTCCTGAGTCTACTAGCACTTTGCTAGGTACATGACATATACTTAATCAAGCTTGTACCTAAAGATCAACATTGTCGCCTATAACTTGTAATTTTATTTTATATATCACTACAGGGTAGTTCTGCATAGGGTCCTATACATTCGGAATGACTGTGGAACAAACAAAAGTAAAATTAGGAAGTCCAGATATGTATAATATGAAACCTTTTCTTGGAGTTATGTATTTGTGTACATGTACACGTTACACATTTTTTTTCAAGCTTCTCTGCCTTTACTGTAGAATCTGACCTTGTATTGGATAAGATAGTCTTTTTAGGAGACTCGAACTGATGAACAAGTATGAGTCAGAAAAGAAGCTGAGAGTGGATTAATTTTGGATGCAGAAGCTTTGGGGTCTTAGCAGGTCCTTAGGGACACAAGGAACTTTGAAGAGCCATCATTGTTAAATGGAGGAATTTGAAAATGTAGTATAGCAACAGAAACCAGGTTTTTTAAAAATATACATATTTTGATGTTCGGGGCCTTGATCACACTGTAAAATGAAGACATGTAACAAAAACTGTGATGTCATCTATGAAATGCTTCAAAATTCAAGTAATGTAGTTTGAGGTCCAGTATTTAGGTTTTTATTTATTTGTGGACAGATTTCCCTTTGAACTTGCTAATTTCTTTAAAACCTTGATTTGATTAATTTGACAGAAATCTTTGGTTTCCTCGGAAAGAAGTGGTGTGCAAGGGGCATAACAGTGCTTTCTGGAGTGGTGGGAAGAACCTGTTTCCGTACGGAGTTAGTGGTTATGCAGGGGTGTACAGTGGTCGAAAGTCATCAGACTGTACAAGTAAAATCTGTGCGTTTTATTGTTCAAGTGACTTTTTTAGAATAGCAAAGAAAATAACAGCTAAAAAATCTTGACAAAATATTGAATTATTGTAAATAGAAACAACTATTATATATTTAAATTAACCTTGATCTCCATTTTCCATTAATTTATCTAAAAAACGTGCATTTAAAGGTTTGTTTTTTTTTCTTTGCAGCCAATTGGTAGCCATCCTTGAACAATGAATTTACTTTTACATATTTGGGCACAAAATAATTTAGGCACAATGTATTTTAAGACCCCTAACCCGATCTGGAAAATTCGATGGTTTAATTTTTTAAACCATTTGAACAAAAATGTCTTTATTTTTTGTTTTGAATTTTCAGAATTGGTTTTATACCCTGGAACATTGAAACAGAAGTCCTTCCTCTCATCTCTTCTGTGATGCCAAGAGCTATTTTTCCAACAAGTACCATGTCATTAGAGAACTTTGGTAAAGTTTGTGAAGTTTTTTCCTACTGTTTAAATGAGCTTCTTTTTAGTCTCTTAAAAGTGAGTGTTGATGGCTTACAAAGGCTATTATAAGTTTTAAATGGTAAGTCCTAAAGATTTGGACAGTGACTTGACTTTTAATTTGTTCAGACTAGAAAATCCCTCTTAAGAAATTACAGGTTAATGTTTTCGAGGACTGATTAGAAGTCTCCCTTCTGTTTAGGGTTTCAAGATCCAAACTATAGATCTTTAGAAGTACCATCTCCTATTTCCTGTTAATTATCGACAAATAATTTGAGTCTTTATACGTGAATAACCTGTTGTTTCTTGTGTTTTGCCTAGGTAATAATCAATTCGTAAAGCAAATGGCAGTTATTAGACTAAACATATTTTCTTGTTTTTCTTCTATAAAATTACCCACATGGATAATTTTGTGATAACTTATTTCAGTAGCATTAAAGAGAAGCTGATAAATACCTGATATTATTCAGATATTAGTAGCTATACATTTATTGATAAGTATATTTTTAGTCTATTATAGATGTCTATTTTTATGTAAATAAGCTAAAGCCAAACTTATCATTTATTAAAACATATACTTTTATTTTTTGAAAAATGTGTATTATTAGGTACTTCTTACAAGGGATATGCATTAGCACACACTCAAGAAGGAGAAGAGAAGAAGCAAACTTCTGGCACATCAACCACCAGAGGATCAAGACGAAAACCTGCAGCAACAACTCCCACTAGGAGATCTACGCGTAACACGAGAGCTGAAACAGTCACTCAGCCTCAGAGATCCCCAGTATCAAATAATTCTGGGTGTGATGCCCCAGATAACAATAATCCACCTGTAAGTGTTTCTTCTTCAGCTGAGTCTGAAAAGCAAACAAGACAGGCTCCAAAACGGAAGCCTCTAAGAAGAGGAAGAAAGCCACCTTTGCTGAAAAAGAAACTTCGGAGCTCTGTACCTACCCCTGAAAAATCATCTTCCAGTGATTCAGCAGATGAAACAGCAGAATCTGACACACCACCTGTTTTAGAGAAAGAGCACCAGTCAGATGAAGAAAATAGTAACACTTGTACTGTGCAGACAAATGTAGAAGATAAGTCTGCTAATGGCTTGAAAAGTCACAGTGAGCAAATAGAAGAGAGTGAGGAACATACTGAGAATCACGATACAGAGAAAAAAGTAGAAACTTCACATTCTGAGTCTTGTACTCAAGAAGATCCTGTGCTAGTTGGAGAGGAGGATCCTGTGCTAGTTGGAGAGGAGAGTCCTGTGCCAGTTGGAGAGGAGGGTCCTGTGCTAGTTGGAGAGGAGGGTCCTGTGCTAGTTGGAGAGGAGGGTCCTGTGCTAGTTGGAGAGGAAGATCCTGTGCTAGTTGGAGAGGAGGGTCCTGTGCTAGTTGGAGAGGAGGAGGAAGTTCAAAAAGTTGAGAATACAGATATCAAGGCTAATGTTTTATGTTTAGAAAGTGAGATATCTAAAAATATTTCTGAAAAAGGAGGTGATCCATTAGAAAATCAAGACCCAATATCTGGACCTTCAGAATCAGAGTTAAAAACAGATATATATACAGATCATCCTCCAAATGATTTTCTTACACGTTCAGCATCTGAAATTGAAGTGCACCAACCTATACCAAGCCTGGGTGACTTACCTGAGGATGCAGAGCTAATGGTTAGTAAGGAAAATGTTGTAGAGGTTAATGAAGAAAAAATAATAGATGTTAATGATGAAAAGGTTATAGTGAGTCCTATAGAAGAAATTATTGATCATAAAGATACTTCAGTAAAAGCAGAACAGCTTGTAGACAGCCAAAAATCAGAGTCTTCTGAGGGTGGAACTATACAAACAGTGGACAAAACATCTGTTGAGAGCTCAGAGATTCAGCTGCCTGGGCACATTGAAATTGAAGATGCAGAAATAACTGCAACGCTTGATACTTCAGGGAATGAAAATTTCAGTAGTATTCAAGACTCTGAAAATAATTTATTAAAAAATGATCTTAATACCAAATTGGATGAATCTTTAGAAGAAAAGACTGAGTCTCTGGTTGAACATCCCAGATCTACAGAGTTGCCTAACACACACATTGAACAGACTCAGCAGCATTCTGGTGAAGACAATAATGAGATGATACCTATGGAATGTGATTCATTTTGCAGTGACCAGAATGAATCTGGAATTGAACTGGCTGTAAATGCTGATGCTAAACAATTGAATAAAAGTTCGGCAGAGGGCAGTTCTCAAAATAATGTGCCATCTTCTGATCCAGTAAGTGAAAAGGTTGAAACTGTATCTCAAACATTTGAAAGCCCAGTAGACGTGATAGATAAAGCCAAAAAGCCTCGTACTCGAAGATCTAGATTTCATTCCCCATCTACAACTTGGTCCCCTAACAAAGACGCTGCACGGGAAAGGAAGCAGTCTCAGTCTCCATCTCCCAAAAGAGACACTGGGAAAGAAAGGAAGTCTCAGTCACCATCTCCCAAGAAAGAATCTGCAAGAGGACGGAGGAAATCACGTTCTCAGTCTCCAAAAAAGGATATTGCAAGAGAAAAAAGGCGATCACAGTCTCGATCTCCAAAAAGAGATAGCACTAAAGAAGGCAAAAGATCAGAATCACTCTCCCCAAAGAGAGAGACTTCTAGAGAGAACAGAAGGTCTCAGTCAAGAGTGAAAGATTCCTCCCCAAGAGAAAAATCCAGGTCCCGGAGCAGAGAAAGGGAAAGTGATAGAGACGGGGCTAGGAGAGACCGAGAGAGAGAGAGAGAAAGGAGAACCAGAAGGTGGTCTAGATCCAGATCTCGTTCTAGGTCACCATCAAGATCTAGAACAAAAAGTAAGAGTTCATCATTTGCTAGAAATGACAGAGACAGTTACTCTCCTCGGTGGAAGGAAAGATGGGCAAATGATGGATGGAGATGTCCACGAGGAAATGATAGGTACAGAAAGAATGACCCAGAGAAACAGAATGAAAATACAAGAAAAGAAAAAGATGACCTCAGTTCAGATGCTGACTATCCAAATTCTGCAGACAAACATAGAAATGACTGTCCCAGTTGGGTAACAGAAAAAATAAATTCTGGGCCTGATCCAAGGACCAGGAATCCAGAAAAGTTAAAAAATTCCCACTGGGAAGAAAATAGAAATGAAAATTCAGGGAATTCTTGGAATAAAAACTTTGGTTCAGGTTGGATGTCTAACCGTGGTAGAGGTAACCGTGGCAGAGGCACTTACAGAGGTAGTTTTGCCTATACGGATCAAAATGAAAATCGGTGGCAAAACCGAAAACCGCTCTCAGGGAATTCAAATGATTCAGGGAATGAGTCTTTCAAGTTTGCGGAACAGCAACCATATAAACGGAAAAATGAGCAAGAGTTCTCATTTGATACACCAGCAGATAGATCCGGGTGGACATCTGCATCTAGTTGGGCCGTGAGAAAGACTCTACCAGCAGATGTTCAGAACTATTACTCACGACGAGGGAGGAATCCTTCAGGTTCACAGTCTGGGTGGATGAGACAAGAAGAGGAGGCCGTTGAACAGGGTAACATGTTCTGTTTATTAATGAACACTTTTATTGGAGGAAAGGAATTATAAGTTAGTGCCTTATTTGTATGAATTGAAATGACCCCTCTTTATAATTTTATAATGTTAAACTGAATCCCAGTTTTTTACCAGTCACTTTACATTATGTAAGTGTACATACACATTAATACTCTTTTATCCCACTTGTGCCCCAAACCTCGCCAAAAACTTTAATATTTTAAGTACAATTTGCTACAGTAGAAGAATTTGGGGTATTTCTCTGCAGGATTTAACTTTATTTCATATGTGTGGACTTAAATTATTTTGATCATTGTTCTTATATAAATAAGTAATTCTTCTAATAAAGATTTATTTTTCTTGGCTTTTTTTTGGGGTTAACATTGCAAGAAAAAAGCTGTTGAAGATTAAAAGTTGATTAACTTCTAATTTAGTAGTCTAAATAGATTTTGTATTTATTTCTTTAGTAAGTTTCTTGAGATACCGATTTTTTGCTAATATTGATGGATGTTATCATCTAGCCTTATTAAAAATTATTTTAGTTAAATGTTTTCATTTGGAAAACCAGCCCACATTATTTAGAAATGATGGAATTAAATCAAATAATTGCAGATTGGATTAGGTGGTCTGAGTCTCTTAATTGCTATTTAATTTGACTATAATCAGTGGTTCTTTGCTTCTCTGTCTAAAGAAATATGTAACGTAATTTTTTTACAAGCCTTTTTTCTTTCAATAGATTCTAACCTAAAAGACCAAACAAACCAACAAGGTGATGGTTCTCAGCTATCTATAAATATGATGCAGCCACAAATGAATGTAATGCAGCAACAAATGAATGCACAACACCAGCCTATGAATATCTTCCCATACCCAGTGGGTGTTCATGCTCCTTTGATGAACATCCAACGTGGTCCATTTAATATTCATCCTCAGCTACCCTTGCATCTGCACACAGGAGTACCTCTCATGCAGGTAGCTGCTCCTACCAGTGTATCTCAGGGACTACCACCACCACCACCCCCTCCCCCACCATCCCAGCAAGTCAACTACATGGCTTCACAGACAGATGGAAAGCAGTTGCAGGTACGTTTTTGGCAACTCAGGTTCAATCAACATAGCCATTGTAAACATTCAGCTATTAGGGACCGATGTTCAAGAAGGGGGCTTCCTGGCATCCAGAACAATTATTCAATTAGATTTATGGTAAATCTTCATAACCCCTCTTTCACGATTTTTCCCCAAACCACCCATCCCCCAACCCCCTATGTAAGAAAATTATATTATCAAGTCTGGGCTACATAATGCAGTCAATGACATCCAAACACTTTTTTTCAGATTAAGAAGACCAGGTCACGAGCCAAACTAGAATCAAGTTGTGGGTGCTTTGAAATTCTTCCCTAGTTTATTGGACTCTTTAGGGGGTGGAAACTCGTGAAAGAGTGTTGTGATGAGGCTTGTATTGTCTTGTTTGAAAGATGCCAGTTAAAGCTGTGCATGATCGGTCACTACCTGTGTTTCATTTTCACAAGTTTACCCTGCTGAAGAGGAGGAGGTGCTTCTGACGCATGTAGACGATTTGAGTAATAATTTATGAACATTGTGTTGCTTATAGTTTTATGCTACATTTCAGAAATTCTAGAATCCTGACAGCAAGATACAGTTGGAGGAACAGGGGAAGGGGATTCCAGAATACGGGGTCTGAAATCTTCTTCTGCTGTCAGCTCACTGCAAGCTGTTTGACTTCACTGCCTCGTTTTCTCCCATCTCTAAAGGGGGGGCACTTATTTTAGTTAATTCTCGTAAGAGCTTTGCAGGAAAGATACTATTCTTCAAATGTTCCTGTTTTTAGTGTTGATAGCAGAACATTACAATACACATGTAATTTAAAAGTCACATTGACATATTTAAATAGGGCTCTGTTGAAGAATGGTACCCATTTTTCTTCAGAGTCCTTTAGATAGGAATGACCCGAAATACACATTTCTCTTAAGTACTAAGGTTGAATTGCTTTCAGTTTTTAATGTTATTTCTAATATGTGACAAAAAGTCTCCTAGTGAGTACAAATAATTCATTAACTGATTATAACTCTTTAAAACAGGGTACTCCCGGTGCTTCTCATGTAAGTAATAACATGAGCACACCAGTCTTGCCTGCTCCAGCAGCAGCCCCGGGAAATTCGGAAACAGTTCAGGGACCAAGTTCTGGTAATACTTCGTCATCGAGTCACAGCAAAGCCTCTGATGCTGCTGTAAAATTGGCAGAAAGCAAAGTAAGTGTTACAGTGGAAGCCAGCGCAGATAGCTCGAAGACAGACAAGGCAAGTTCAAGGTTGAGAGCAACCTACATAATTTTGTATCTGATAAAGTTGAAAAATAACTTTCTATTGTATAAGTGGTAAAGGGAATTTATTGCTAGTCTTAAATTCTAATATTATTTGAAGGGTTCTGTCTAGATATGTTGATGCTCAATAAGTTACTAGTAATATTTCGAAATTATTTTTAGAAATTTTTGAGATGTTAGTAAATAACTTTTGTGTTCACAGCACTAATATTTGATGAGCTCCTTCTAATAATAGAAATGCACGGTGTTTTTAATTTTGTATCTTCAAAGAAATTTTTTGAAAGTATGTGATTGGACAAATAATAATTATACATTTTCCTCTTACCAGAAATTGCAAATTCAAGAGAAAGCAGCACAGGAGGTAAAACTGGCCATTAAGCCATTTTACCAAAACAAAGACATCACCAAGGAAGAATATAAAGAGATTGTACGAAAAGCAGTGGATAAAGTAAGTCCCAGCCACAGTGGAGTTGTGCGTGCGCTGTTTTCAGCCTTCTCCAGTTCCGTAAGGGGTGCTGGATGGAGTGTGTGCACAGTAACAAGGGCGTGCTTCTAATGCTGGCCTGCTTTTTACCTTCTGAATAATTTTATATGAGAGGTGCAAAAATGTCTGGTTTGGGCTTAGTTGTTTTTCACCAAGCTTCCCATTTTATTCCCTTTAACTATGAAAAAAATTCCCCTCATTTTTTCATAGGTTTGTCATAGTAAGAGTGGAGAAGTGAATTCTACTAAAGTGGCAAATTTGGTTAAAGCCTATGTAGACAAATACAAATATTCACGGAAGGGAAGCCAAAAGAAAACTCTGGAAGAACCTGTGTCTACTGAAAAAAACATAGGCTGAAGTGGAGAGCGCTGTAGAGGACACTGTCAAGATGTCTGCAAAGTGCAATTTCAACCAGTACCTTTAACTGAAAATCGTACACAACTGTGATTGAAATTTGGTTTTGATAAAATTATTTTTTTTAACATAGGATATAATGTTTTGTTCAAAATAAATACTAGTTCTGCACTGCAACTTCTATATCCTTTCCTTCCCCCTTCCCAATACAAGCAATTTCAAGGGAAAGGAAAGGGGTTAAAGGAATGTGCATTTTCACCAGGACTGTGGCAGTGTTGATGCTGAGAGTGTACAGCATTTTATTTGAACAGTGGAGTGCATAAACTAGAAATTCCTAAGTGCACTGGTTTTGGAAGAGATGTATATATAATACATTTATTCTGCTAGGCTAAAAATAAAGTATGAACTATATGATTTCCCCTTCTAATTATAGAAAGTTAAGTAATGTATTACCATGAAAAATATTTCTAATAACAGAACATACCAACTGCAGGGTTCCTAATCTGTATTTTTAAAGCACACATCTGAATAAATTGCTTAGATAAAAAACAAATGATCACCTAAGTAAAATCCAGTGTTCAAAACTTTGGGACACTGTTGACCCATTGTATCACCAAATAAAGGGTATGCTGCTTGTTTTTCTTGGTGCCTTTTTTCCCCCTATTGAGAGGAAGTGGTTTGATTTGCTAGGTTGGCAACTTTGGCAGTCTAACTTCTTTGCCGAATTTAGAAGACCAGTTTGGAGGAAGTGTTGACTTTGTAAACATTCTTATTTCCTATTTCCTACCTATTGGAGATGATGAATCAACTGTGCCAACTGGAGAACTGCTGTTAAGTGGCGGCGACCCTCCCTTGGGACTACAGTCGAATTATGTGTCTCACTTCAGTGGTTTTCAGGTTGTTGTTCATCTGTCTAATCACTAATGAAATTCTTTTCACACCTGAAAAATCTCCAGATGCTTCACAATGAATAAAGTATTGATTTGGTGACCACACGATGGCCATCGAGCATGTTGCAAAAGTCTAGACACATTAAAATCTGTGTCTTGGAAAGGGAGAGGAATGAAGTAACGGAGTTTTGGTTAGGCCTGCAGGGATTAGGGATTTAGTTGGTTTTTTTAAATACTAGAATATGTTAATTTTTATAAAAGGTAAGTAAAAAGTGTTATAGTGCCATTGTTTTCATTGGCATTTTGGAAGAAAAAATGGGTTGTCTTCCATGATAATTTTTTATTCTAGTAACAATTTTCAACAGACACCAAATAACTGGAAAGCTGCTTAGATGTTAGTGGCTCAAGATAGAGATACGCCCCAGTGAGACAGACTGGCCCTTTTACTAGCTGAACGAGCAAGAGCAGTACTCCGTAGGACTGTGCTTCTGTGAAGTAAAGATTATGTGTTTCTCCGTTTTTACGTGCACAGTACTTTTTCCTGGTGCTAGCTTTGATAGGCAAAGTATTTTGAAACGATGGTCCCAGTAATGATTGTGCTAGTTCATAATCTTTATTAGATTATGAGTGTAATCCCCAAAAGTGTTAGAAATATTTCCGAGGAGTCTTTGATCTTTATTCTGCATTTCTGGGCATTAGTAATACTGGTATTCTACTGATTTGTATATATCCTTAATTAAAATTTGTGTTTAGATTAAGATGGGGAATGAAGTTTAGACATATATTTCTTCCAATAAAATATTAAGACTGTTTTAAATATCAATGCACACATCCTCATTTGTTTTAGTTTCTAGCTGTAAAAACAAATTGTGTGAACTTGAAATCTATTTTGAGTTAAAACTGGTTCACACCTTGAAGATTTCGTAGCACATTGCCTAAACTGATTCGTCAGAGAATGCCTACTTTTTCCCTTCATTTTCTTTCAGTGGTGTTTGGGGTTTGGGTGACATCTTAAAATTTGCTTTACACCAGTTATCTTTTGCAAACATATTTAAAATAAGTTCTGAAGAAAGACTAGGTGGTGTGGTGTGGTCAAGCCGCATGTCATTGGCAGTGCTGCCAGGAGCTATGTTTGTCTTTCTTGCAAATAACAAGTGTGCGTCCCACATCTGGTTGGGGTGCTGGGTAGACCGAATTTAAAATAGCTAGTGAAGAATGTTACTGGATTAGAATTCAAACTTTTAAAACTTTGAAATATTTACGAATGTATTAGAAAGTGCATGCTTTATGTTAAAAATACATTGCTTTAACATTCCCCACTCTTGCTTTTTTCAGAAATTTATGTTAATTTTGCATGGGCATAAATTGAATCAAAAACATTTTGTGGGATCACAGTATTTATGAAGATTCAGTATTAACTTGACCTTTGAAACCTGGGTCCCTTTAACTTACTAGTCACATTGACCAATGTTTGAGGCTACAGCAATGCCTGGAATTTTGAGACTGAAAGTAGTTGTTACTTGGAACATTCCAAATTTGTGTGCATTTTCCCCCTGGTACTTACCACATTTTCTTCGTTATCTTCCTTTAAATGGTCACGGTGTGTACTGCCTGAATGTTCCATCCAGAAGGTGCAGCTTCGGAAGCACGGGGCTGCCCGCGGCCGTGAGGCGCTGTCTGAGGGCGGAGTGCTGTCTGCTGAGATAGTGCTCTTCGCAGGCAGACGTGCAGTATGTAATATTTTCTAATAAATTCTTTTGATAAACAAAGTAGTGTCTTTTAAATTTTATTAAGATTCCTATGAAATGGACTTTTACTTCAATAACTCTTTCTAAACAGTTGTTTAAGTATTTCTTGGGTTTGCACCAAAGTAACTAGCATCACAGTTATATTAATGTCCAAGCTGTAAAGCAAGCTGAGAGTTAGCTATAAGCATTTATTTTACTAGCATTTTTCCTAATTATGTAATCATTGTAAAAAATTAGAAAATTTTTAGTAACTAAAAAAAGTAGTAAAGATAGAAGAAACAATAACAAAAGGAGGGAAATAATTTATAATTCTACCATTTAAAGGTAACAAGTATTAACACTGATGAAATTGCATATAAATTGTTGTAACATTCTTTTCATTTAATGATGTATTGAGAAGTTGCCATTTTAATAAAAATTATTCTGCAGCATGATTTTTAATGGCTATATAAATATTCAGTTACCCAAATACTCCTTAACCTGAAACAGCCTTCTGTTGGATAAGTTGTTCCTACTAATACAAGTAAATAAATTAGTAAAATATACATTGTACTAACATAAATAAAACTGATGTAAACATCCGACTGCCTAAATTGTGCCCATTTCAGATATTTTTCTGGGGGTTAACTCCTAGAAGTAGAATAGCTTGGTCAGTCATTTTTTATTTCCCCATAAATTTAAAAATTCAGTTTTAATCAGTGTAAAACCCCCATCATTTTCCAAAGCTGGTTTGTCTGTCCAGAGAGAACCATCGGAAAGACGTTTCTTTATGTTCCCACAGTCTTAAGCACATTTACAAAGATGCTCTATTGGGTTCCGGGATAATCAGTTTCCCCAGCAAATTATATTCTGTGAAATTGCATCTCTAGTCCATTTAAGAAGCAGAACATATATTCTGTTGTCCATGTTCTATTTTATAATGGCTCTATTATGTTTTTCTGTTAGCTATTAGAAACAATGTTTTAATGAACATCCTTTGTGACTTATTTCTGTGAACCTTCTTGTGTATGAGGTTACATTGAATTTCAAGATGTGTGTGTTTTAATTTGGGTAGATGTTGCCAAATTGCTCTCTAGAAGGAGTATACTCATTTATAATTCCACTTTTGATAATTGCGACTGAGCATATAAAATTGTTCTTAAGATCTTACTGGACATTTGTCTCATCAAACAGTGCATACCTACTTTTTCTAAGGAATTCTTGGGTTCTTCACATACCAAGTTTATTTATCCCATAGTCTTCAAAAGGAATAGTACAAAATTAACATTTATTAAGCCTGTAATGTTTCAGGCACTCAAACATTTTATGTGTTACCTCATTTGATCTATAAAAGCAAAGCTAATAAGTATCTTTATTCTCTGATGAGAAAGTTGAGATGCACAAAGCATTAACTGTGCCCTGCCCAGGTAGCTCAGCAGGTGAGAGCATCATCTGGATATATACATCAAGGTCGCTGGTTCAATTCCCAGTGAGGGCATATGCCTGGGTTGCAGGCCAGGTCCCCCAGTAGAGGGCTCGTGAGAGGCAGCCACACACTGATGTTCCTCTTCCTCCCTTCCCCTCTCTCTAAAAATAATCTTGAAAAAAATAATAAATGGAACAACAAATTGATGTTTCTCTCAAGTCAGCAAATTAAAAAACTTTAAAGGCATTAACTGAATTAGTTACACAGCTATTGGTGATTTAGCCGGGATTCAGACCTAGACTTGGTAGGTGCTCGAGTTAGTTCGTGACTCGGGGTGTCACTGAGCTCACAGATGGAAACGGACGTTTCTGTAACACATGGTAGTGATGGCTGGACCGGGAAGTGAAATGCAGTAGGAGCAGAGAAGACACGGCTGACTGCTAGGGGGAGGGAGTGAGGAAAGGGTGTTCTTCGGGTGTCTAACCAGACCTCATTTTTGCCGTTTTAATAGCTGTTTTTTCCTATCTTAAGAGATACTAAGCTTGGAATATGGAAGCCATCTTTCCCGAATGCTTTGCTCTTGCTCCATCTCCATTCTCAAACAGTTGCTGTTTTCTCTTCTCTGTGTCATCTTTGCCACAAAACCTAACTGATGGCCCCCAGCAACGTTACTCTGACCTCTGAATAGCCTCGACTGTCACTAGGTTCTGTGTGCATCAGTTCACCTAAACACCACAGACTAATCTTTCAGTGGCGTACGTAGCTTTTGGTTGTGCTATCCTACATCAGCGATGGTCAGCCTCTTTTGCCTCATTGGATACAGACTACTAAAATTCTGTGCCACACCAAAATGTATATATATTTTGCTGATCTGACAAAAAGTATGATTTTGATTCATGGACACCGGACAGCTGTTCTGATGGCTGATACCAGTTTTTTATTAACCTAAAGAGGTCAGTGCCCCTGACCCAATAGTAGGGTAGTAGGTATGGCATGTTTTTAAAAATTCTCGCAGCACACCGGTTGGAAATCACTGGCCCGCATCATTTATTCCACACGCAGCGCCAGCCGGTGTGTTGCACACTAAGGAAGAGTTGGGGAAAACTGCTGTGGCCTTCGTGGAGCAATCCGATTGGTGTGAAAAAGTAGCTGTGCATCACGTCAGCGTCGTTGGCAGGTCTTGGAAACTTTTTTTAAGTGTATTGATTATGCTATTACAGTTTTCCCAATTTCTCCCCCTTTATCCCCCCTCTGCCCTGTGCCCTCCAACCCTCCAGCATCCCCACTTAGTTCCTGTCCATGGGTTGTGCATATAAGTTCTTTGAGTTCTGTTTCCTAGACCATTTTTGACCTCTTCCTATTTTACGCCTACTGATTATGCTTCTTCCCTGTATCTTCCCCCCATTCCTTCCCCTCCCTCCCCTCCCCTCTCCACTGAAAACCCTCCATGTGGTGTCCATTTCTCTGATTCTGTTCCTGTTCTAGTAGTTTGCTAAGTTTTTGTTTTGTTTTTCTTTGCTTTTTTAGGTTCATTTGTTGATACTTGTGAGTTCTCATTTTACTGTTCATATTTTTTATCTTTTTCTTAGGTAAGT